CACAAAAAGGGAATCAAATGAAAAAAAAAACGATCAATTTTTTTAACAATTATTTTCGATTGATTGAAAATTATTTTTACTCGGTGAGATGCAAGCAAAATTGATAAGTTTATAATTTTTTTAATTTAATCATTTTTTTTCTAACTTTTTCCCTCTTGGGTTGATTTGCAAGTCAATCCGATTTGACTTCTGTGAGAGAAATAAGGGCGCAGTTACTCACTTTGTGGCAGACAAACGTTTTCATCTGTCTGTGTGCAGTTCGTCTTCTTCGTCTTCCTCTCTCTCTGCTATCGGCGTGTAGTGGCTCATTGACCGGCGGCTTAAGGGCGTCGACGCGTACGTCTTGCCTTTGAATCTGCATAAATTGCCCTCAGCTCGCAAATTGCTCAATCACATGCTCGAGCTGCGCGGCAACCCGCGCCGCACTTTACCCATCACTAATAGCCTCGGTTCCAGACTCCAATATTGGTTGTTCAGCAGCACCATCGACCTGCTCTTAATTGATGACTTATTTGCTGCGATCAGATAATTAATGCGTTTCAAGTTTTCAAATATATTAAATTAAAATTGAAAACAATTAAATGTAATTCATTTTAAATACTCTGTTCAGAGCTTTTCTTTATTTGTTAAGTTTTAGCAATTAAGCTAAGTGTTTGAGATTCTGATTTTAATTAAAATTTGTGTACAACTACCCTTGTGTAATTCAGAACAGCCAATTATTTTTTTCCCAACCAATTTTTGCCTTATAAAATCTATGTAATTTGAATAACATTGGAAAGTTTTAGGCGTCAGCAAAATATTTATTTGGAGGACGCTTTTGTCGCCTAAATTTTTATGGTTTTTCGGGTTTTTTCTATGTAAATTAGTATTCCAAAGTTAAACTTTTTAGCTGTTCCAGATTCCAGAGTCCCCAAACTTGTATCAAAATCGATGTTTGTCATATAAAAATATAGCTTTGTAAGTGCTGAGTAAATTTTTGATAATTTACTTTTCGTATTTTGTATTATGCACCGTTATCCACGTGTTTCTTCAATGGTAAAAAGTTGCCTGTTTGGGAGATCTTAAACAACAAATTTACAGAAAAATGGAATTTTATATTTATTTCAATTGTTTAAATTTTAGTTCATAAAAGAGCTACAGTAGAAATTTTCAATCATTGAAGGAACCAATATTGACGAAGATTAGTTTTCTTGCAAAATATTCTCAATTGATATAAAGTGCAATTTAGTTTTATTATATTATTATTTGAAATTGATTTTACTTATAATAAAATCTTAAAACTGCCAAACTTTTTTTTACAAAATTATAAGAATCAAAAATAATTAAAAATTTAATAAAATAAAAAACTTTAAAACAATAATAAGTTTCTAAAATAATAATTACGTATTGTTTAATATAATATTTATTTTTAAATGATATGTATTACTTTGCAATTACTAAATTTTATAGTGAGTTTTAAAAAAAATAATGCAATCCCCAGATTGTCAAATTAAATATTAATAAGATTTTCATATTAATTCACCTATTCTAAAAAAATAACAATTAAACAGAAATTAAAGATATATCATACCAATCCCATAATTTATAGGTCGTCACATGGTCTGCATACACCCCTGATGTGTTTGAGCCGCGCCCTTTTCGCTTTTGCACCGGGCCGGGATGAGATTCTCATCCATTTCAAAGCCATCGCGTTTGCCGAGTGCATTTTTATTTCAAAAAACATCTCGGAGCGACGCTTCTCTCTCGCAATTCAATCGGAACGAGAGAAGTGCAGCAAAAGTTTTCTGATATCTGCGCGCGTACGATCGCGTCTTGTTAGATGTTAAATACGTGAGCGCGGTTTAGATACGGCAAAATACCGTTGGGGATGTAACAACGAGATCGCGCGCCATTCATCTCTGCCTCGCTCTGAGCTCTGAAAAATGATCGCAATAAGTTTTTGCCGCAGAGAAAAGAGCAGAAGACAACGAGAGTAGAGCATCAAGTAACTCATTCATCGTCTTTCAAATCAAATCTCCGTACGAAACAAAATGACAGAATGCGAGATTCTTCGCGATTTATTAGAAACTTCTTTTATTACTTTACTATGACAATCAGGCATAAATTTCGTTGCTTAGAAAATTGAATCTCTTTCACTGAAAAACTTTATGAACCTTTTAAGTTGTTGCTTTTGTTCCAAATTTTTAGTTTTTTTCTCGACCTTTAAAGAATAAAGTTCAACTTTTCCCGGCTCAAAAAGTTAAGTTGGTTTGGGTATGATTATGATTGTGGCTCATTTTGGGTGCAATTTATACTGAAAATTTGCAGTATTAGTTATGTTGTATTCTCCTTATTTTCAATAAAACGATTCACTAAATAAATTAAATTAAATATTTATTGAAATAATGATTTAAGTAAAACCTGTAAATTATGACCTTTTTAATTAAACGATTTTCTGAAAAATGAATGAGTGTTTTATCCCTTTCACTATTTTTGGAGATTTTTTTTTAACAATTGTTCAATTATACTTTTTGTAATCTATCTCGAATTGGACAAAGAATGCCTTGAATCGCAACTAAATAAAGTATTTTTCAATATATTTTTTAGATCCAGCTTAGGGTTAGAAATTCAATTAAGATTAATCAAGTATCTATGTATCAATATTTGAAGTTTTGATGTAATTACATTGAAGTTTAAATTAATAGCAAAATTATTATACTGTCGTTTTACGACTCAACACGTGTTTTCTATCGAAGTGATGAGAATAATCTGATTAATGGACAGCGCTTCACGCAGATCGTCCTCAAAAAGCAATTAAGTGCATGAACACGGAGCGTTGCAACGTTGAAATTTCAATGACGTAGAAATAATATAACACGACGACAGCGTCCATAAAAGTGTAATGCGATAATAATTGGAGGCGCCGCGCGCGGCGAGTGCTGCACAAATTATCGTTCGGTGCTTTGGAGCGGAACGTGGCTGCAAAAAGCGCACTCTGGTGAATTATTGTGCCGCTGGTCGTTACTTATGCGCAGCGTCCCACGAGGGCCGTATCGCCTCTCAGTTTGCGTCGTAAATTATGTCTTGGCCGAAAAAATTTAAAAAAAAAAACCATGCACCATCTTTCATCGAACGGTAAAATGAATTTACGAGTGTGCCAAGCCGATTATTAATAAACAGAGAACGGAGCAAATTTCGCAATTTATAGTCAAGAGGCGTTCGCGCGATGCAAACACCGCCCTACGCAATTAAATCGGAGAGGGATAAAAAAAAACAAAGCAAACGGAAAGCAGAGCAAACATGCAATCAAACGAACGTGCTGGCAGCCGCAGTTTTTGATGAATGCCTTCAGTAAAGGAATAACAAGGACAAAACAAAAATTATTTTAAACAAAGTTAAGAAAATTTTACTTTATATTATAGTAGTACACGGTAGTACATATCTTGATAAATATTAAATATTTTAAAACAATAAAATTAAAAAACCTATTTAACCATTATGATTTATGATTATTATTCGATTTTTATGTTTTTAATAATAGATTATAATGTTTTAAAATTGTTTAAACATTTGTTAGTCTTATATTGAAATTTTATTTACTTTCTAGTTTATAATTATAATTTAAAAAAAATATACTTATCATTGTCGACATTAGACAATATTCAATAAAAATAAAAATATTATTCATTCATGCAGCTTTGTCTGAGTCATTTAAATTAGCGATGTAAATTAAACTATTTCAATAATCAAGTATTATAGTTTTTTTTTTTAAACTTCTGATATATTGAGAAAAATAAATATTTGATCCATTTTAAACACCTCAAATTTGTACAACAAGTTTATTAAAAATTGAAGAATTTTTTTGTAAATTCCTTTTTATTTTCTGTTCTTAGAATTAAGTAGGGTCCTTTGGCGTTTTGTCAAATAAATAGAAATAAATATATGTATCAAAATTAATTTTTCTCAGTAGAAACTGCAGCCTAATAATAATAATAATAGTAATAAAAGTACACATTTTCATCGAATTGAAATTTATTTGGCTAAAAAAAGTGCTCAAGACAGCACGGCACTTTCGCCTCAAGCAAAATTCCCTATTATTTGATTTTCACTGAGTGAGTTCAGCTGAATTGCAAGTAAATATGCGCAACCCGCTCACTTTCAGCAAAGAATGTAATGTTTAATAAGCTTTATTTTATTTCCATTTGCCTAATTTCCTGCAAACAATGGCATGGCTGTTTGCAACTTGCCCATTTGTGAATTCCTTTATAATATTAAATATTGTCAGTTTCTGGAGTATTTAAATTTTGTTTAACAGTTTTTGTAGTCAAATATAAAAGCCCAGGGAAATGCTGAATCGAAATTGGATTCGTAAAATATTACAGAAAGGTTATTTAAACTGCATATAAAGAAAAATAATTTATATACAAAGATTAAAAAATAAGTGATCGAGTTTTCCGTGCTGCGTAAAAATGCGTACAATTCTAATCCACGCACCTTTTTATCAAAATAATGACGCATTCTCAAATTTACTAGAATCAAAATCTTTGAAATTAATTATTTGATATATATTCGGGCTGTTTCTTTCATTAATTGTGTTCTCATTTCATATACTGAATGAGTAATTAATTTTTTAAATTATTAAACAATCTGAATCTTTTTCAAAAAATTGTTTACTGAAAGATTAGTAATGAAAAAAATCCTATCTATACAGATATATGAAAACATGAATATTTATTATTTGAAATTAATTTTTTGTTAAAATGTGTTAGTTTTGGCCGTTTGGAGTGAACCTGGAGAAAAATCAGTGCGAGCTGCGAAACGCCCGATTCAGTATTGCATCGCGCGTAGAGATATTCGCAAGTACGGCTGGTCGCGGGGTGAGAGGGAGGACTGGGGTGCGGTGAGCAATCGGGGTGGGGGAAGGGGCTTGCGAGGGGTGGTTTCGCACATTTTGCGAGTTTACGCACATTTCGCACAGGAACCAGTGCATATTTGGTGGGTCCGACCGGGTCCGACGATCAGGGGCGGAAGGACGGGGGTGGAGGGGTGGATTTCGCACTTTTGGCACCGACTGTCGTTACGCAGCAGGCGAGGGAGGCTTCGTTCGATCCTAGCTGAAAGTGCGTAGGGTGCGCACGGTGCGCACAAGTGCGCACCGGCGCCGCCACCGCCGCTCCTTAGTCGTCCGACCTCCCGGCAGGTCGGCCAGAGTTCCTCGAGGGCCACCGTCCTGCCAACACCTCGCTCCGGACACGACGCAACCCGCCTTACGCACTCGCAGACGCACATTTTTGTAAGATTTTCAATATTTTTCAGCTTTTCCCTGATTTTTTCCTCTTTTTCTGTCTTGCTGGTGTTTTAAATTTTAGTGCCCGAGTGTTAATTTTCAGGGTCTGAAGTGACCCTTGAAGGTTGTGTTTTTACATTCAACCGGGCCGGTTGGCCTTGAAAGTAGGTCAAGCGTTTTAGGCTCTTCTGAATTATGATGTCTGCTCGTTTTTCAGTGATAAAGAGCCCACACGTGTTCCTCCACGTTGTCACACCTTAAAATGAGCACATTTTTTTATTAAAAAGTCTTCGATATTTTGTTAATTATGATTTCAAATCAGATCTAACAGAGATTTTTCGTTGCTTGAACCTGCATTATTTCTAAAATTACAATTCAGATCAATTTCTACAGCGCATACTTTTTTTGGGCGGAGGCCATAATTATATGTCAGAGTAATTTTCTCCTACAAAAATATCCCATACTAATATGATTCATCATTTGAATTTCAGTCTTTAAAATTGAAAATTTTTATAACTAATTTTTTGTTCTTTAAGGAATAATTGCATTCATATAGCGACCCGTGCATTTTATTTTGTTGTTTTTTATATAAATAAAATATAAATTAAATTTAAGAATCCAATAATGTTTTATAATATGTTGAACATATTATTAATTGGCTATATATATATAAAAAATTATAATTATAATATGATTTTACATTAAACCAAGTTAAATAAAAAAAAAATGTGTCAATTTAATTAAAGCCGGTAATATTTAAATTAATTATCAATTATTCAGCAAAATTGGTATATTAAAATTAAAATTTATTATAGTCTGCAAGTATTTTTAATAGTTAATCTTTTACTTTTTAAGAGAGAACAAAAACTAAATTTTTAATTAAAATTCGTTTTGGAGCGCTCGCAGGTTTTCTTTTAGGCTTTTAATTAAATTATTTTGTTACTTTTCTATTTACTTTTAAATTTGTTCTGATAGTGAAATTGATTGATTTTTACCTTACATTCGCAGTTTCAAAGTTCAGGGGGACGGCATCATTCCATTGAGTGTGAAGCTGCTCGAAAGTCTCCTAATTCCAACGAAGCTGAAAACAAAACCAAAAGGTATAATTTTTTATGAATTAAAAATAAATTTAACAAATTAAATGACCAATTATAAGTTTTTAATAAAAAAAGGTTGATTAAATTAACTCAAACCAGTTATAAAATATTGCTTGCTGACATTTCCGCGAGGCAGCCAAGTTGGGGCGAAAGGATTCAGTGAACTGTTTTGCCAGTTTGAATGAGCTACACACACACTATGTACGCGCCTCTCGACAGAGGATGCGTGCGACTCTCCCATTCGCTTTCATCTGAGCACTTGAGCACCAGTTTCTATGGAAACACAAGCAACGGAGCTTTGCATACAGACACGTTTATTGAGAGAGAAAAATCAGACTTTCCCTTTCTACTCAAGTGATTTACCTTAAATTGGAAATATATTATTATTTTTTTTTTAAATAGCTTCCATGAAAATTATAATTTAATAAATTATTCCGTCTTGTGAATCTTCTAATAAAATTTTTAATGACGTTCATTACTATTGCTCGTCCATAATTAAATGTTGTAAAATTTTAAAATTTCAGCATTCAAATCAAATTCTGTCAGAGTGAGAGGAAAAGATCAAGGATGACTTATCAAGCCATTGATAAAACATCGTTCGCTGGAGATAAAAATATGGTGTGTATAATTAATTAAGAAATAAAAAACATTAACTTTTACACTTTTTTTTGGGCAGCTGGACGAAATCATCAAAATTGGAGCGCCGGCCTATCCCAAACCCTCCCTCACCCGTCCAACAGTTAAAATTAAAGTAGAAGTCAACACCGCCTAATTATTCTGACCACAATTATCTAAAAATTAACGCTACTAGCCGATATAGTTCCCTTCCACACGTCATTTCCAACGACAGGTAGACCAAAATCTATAAAAGCTTTCAAATAGTTTCATGTAAATATAAATCAGATGATTATAAAATAATTGATTTCAATTTTATGCTGACCCTCAATGAAGCTTCTTCACAATGATCGATTTGCAATGCCAGAAATCAGGAAGAAGTCACAAAAAGATATTTTAATGATTAGGATTTATCTCGTTTTATGATTCCACGAGATCTCTACTGTGTGTCAAATCCAAGGCAACAGATTGATTTTAAAAGAAATTCTTACCACATCGCCTGAATCATGTTCAAATCACGAGTAAATTAGGGACAGATAACACAGTATAAAAATTACTTCCGCCTCTTTAAGATTAATAGGAATAGTCCATATAATAAGTAAGAAATAATTAGACGGTGCCAAATCTGCATAAAGTTTAAAATATTATGTCAACGACAGCAGATCACTTTGATCTGACACTAAAAAATTAACGAGAGTTTAATTATTTGAAATCTTCCAAGTATTAATTCCTTTCACATATTCCCTTTTCTGAAAGCATGCACGCTTAACACTCTCCAAAAATTATCACTTTGTCACAGGTAAGATGAATAAAATTGCAGACGTTAAAATCTCCAACTCTGAATAATATCTTCTTCTTTTGACCAGATGAGTAATTAAAATCGGAATCCGGAGTCCCTGACATTTAACCCACGCAGCGTCATGAAAACTGCTGAGAAAGAAAAATCCGTCGTCCGCCGCCGCCGCCCCTATAACAAGAATTCTCTTCAAGAAGTAAAAACTTTAGCTTAGAAGATCCTGAGATTGTAAACAGACCTTTCCTTAAATATGGACGCATTCCTTTCCAGTGCGAGTGCTAAATTTATTACTGAGCACTGTGCTGGAAAATAATAATTGCAACATGCAATCAGCCGAGAAGAAAATCCTTTGTATTTTTAGATTTTCTATTTTTTTTTTTTTTTTGAATTGGTAGCGATTAAAATATTGATGTGTGAATATAATGCTTACGGAATAGGAAATCATGTTTCGGACTAACAGGGTCTTTCAGAAGAAACGTTAGCGAATGTAAGACTATGGATAATAATCCTAGCGAATATATAATGTAGAGTCGAGAAAATTTAATACTTCTTACTTGAAGCAAGTAGAATTTTTGCAGATCGACACTTTTCTAAAATTTACTATTTTTCTTAAAATAATCAACAATTCTCACTAGCCGCAGCCACTGTATGTACTTAAAGCTGCTTCCCCTAAAGAAACTGCCATTTTTTTTTAATTAATCACTTGTCAATCAAATGTTAAGAACCTTCGGGAAAATATCATATTTGGAATGCTTTGTGATTTTTTTTCTTTTAGAAAAATTAATTATTCAAATTCATTTAAACTTATGAGAAATCATAATTATATAATTTTAGAAAAATAATTAGCTAAATTTTCAGCAACGTGCTTTTCGTAATTATTTTAAATTTGGAATAACTAAAGGGCTTTCAAGGCTGCATTCAATTAGTCTGAAAAGAATAAATCGCAAATTATTAAAAACGCGTGTAGAAAATAGACTAGAATTTTGCATAAAACTTTTTGGACGCTATATATATACTGACAGTCAGAGGCTCGATTTTTTGATTGATGTTGAAATTTAGGAACGAAGGTGAAATTTCTCACGACTGCTTTTTGATACTTTTTTACTCTCAACCGCGCGGCTGATTTTTCTAAACATTTAAAGCGGGAGAAAACTATGACGCTTGTGCTTTGAGTAGGTGATATCTTCATTAAATTAGAATTTATGTGTGTACAAAGAGGAAGTTGCGCGCAAAAATATCTCTGTGCACCGTGTCTACTTCAATGTTCGTCGCTATGTATTCGTCTATAGTCTTATAAAAAGTGTGTAAAATAATGTCTTTGATGTGTAATTACGGCAGCAGCTAGGAGCAGAAAAAATGCCCAGGACTGCTGAATTTCTTTCTTCGTCGATGTAATTAATTAATAATCGTACTTACGTGTTTGTCCATTGTCCGCGCGCACTCAACTCGACCTCCGGTGATATAAAACGGCTAACATTTTTCGCATGCGATCAGCGTGTGTTTTTTGAGTCGCTCATCTCTGAGATACCGTAGAATATAGCAAGAATTTTTGCTTAGATTGATTGACGGGCTGCTGGATATAGTCAATTTTGACGTGATAATCTTTAAAGGGAATTCTCGAAAAATAGCAACATCATAAAATTAACTCTGAATAACTTGCTTATTAAAGTTATGCAACCTGCTCTTCACCACAGTGAAACAGGTCATAAATTTTTTGTCATATAACAATTTTGATCAAAATTTTCAATTGATTAACATTTTTTCGGGATTATCCCTTTATATGAAAGACGAGCAGCTCAACTTGTAGTGACGATGAAGGGAAAGTCATTTATTGTAAGACTGTTCCCATAATTTATTTATTTTGATAGATACAGTCTTTGATTATAAAACTCATGTAATTTTGAAATTGGTGCTTTTCACGGACGACCACATAATATTGTAAAAGGTATTCTCCGTCGATAATAAAATCACGCTTTTGGTAACTGCATTTGGCCTGATTAAAATTTCAAACTTCAAATAAAATAATTATACACTTTCAGCTTTTTTTATTTTTTAATTGTTCCTAAACAATGTTGCTATATGACTGAAATAAGTAATAAAAAAATGAGTTTAAATTTGAACCTAATTATTTTTGTTACTAGAATTGTCTTATTTATTTTTACTTTCAAATTGTTCAGTCATGCGTAAATAATAATAAAAGCTTATGAAAAATTGGGAGCAGCAATTTTGAAACAGCAGCTTTTGTGTCAATTCTTGAAGTTTATCTTTTATTGGGCTAAGAACAAAAAATCCCAAGGCAACTTGTAAAGGAGCAGCATAATTGTAAATGCATAAATATTTTTTATTTTCATAATCATAAGTGTTTCTTCAGCTACCTCCACAGAGAACCAGTACTCAAGAATAAAAGCAGAGTGCGTTCGATAGAATACAACTACTGGGCATTTTTCTTTTGTCGATTTGCAACTACATCTAACAGATAGAGTGTGTGTATTTGAATATAGAAGGCGACGCAGCGGCTCTCGGCGACTTTGAACGTCTGTTGAATTTATAGGATTAAGAGTCGACGTCAATGTGTTTCAAAAGCAAACATCAGTTCAAATAGTCGCCTCAAACCGCCGGCACGTTGATTTCTTTCTTAATTCTGGAAAAGGGTGCGGGTGAACTCAATGTAGTCCAGTGCTCCGGGAATGGGCCGGTTTGTTTTTGAGTCCTCGAAAGGTTTCATCCGCGACACACAGTAGTCCGCCATTTCCTTTGTAAGGTTCTGCAAAAGATGAACAGAAAAAAATTATAGAAAAATACAATTTATAAAATGAAAATGATTTTTAAATACAAAATTACAAATTAATTAATACAATAAAGATTCACTATTGTTTACAGATGTTAATTAAAGTTGAATTTGAATTAAAATAAAAAAAAAGCTCACCGCATATAACTCCTCCTTGGTGACATAAGGACGGTCTCCTGCGGTGATGGCGCGGAACGCGTTCTCTATTTCCTCCGAGCTCTGTACGTTCTCCGTCTCCTTGCTGATCATGAAGGCCATGTATTCCTGCAAGGAGACGAAACCATCCCGGTTTGGATCGACGATATCTGTGAATAACACAATGATAATCAGTTATTATTTTTTTTATTTAATATTCAAAGATATTAATTTAACAGAAACTAATGAATTAAAATAGTTATGTTGGAATGGAAAATAAATTTTGAGGGAGACTTACCGAGGATGGATTCAAACTCTGGGTCTGGCTGGCCTTCCTCGACCATCGGGAGGTCGTAACCCAGGGCGCGCAGGCACGATTTGAACTCGTGGTGGTTCAGTCGGCCGCTCTTCTCCTTGTCGAAGTGCTTGAACATCATCGAGAACTCCTTAAGCGCGTCCTCGCTGACGCCCGACTGGTTGCGCGCCTGGATCTGCTGCTCCAGATTGTGCTGCATTCGCATGCCAAGTTGGTCCAGCTGATCCCACTGCTGAGCCAAGCCCACAGTGCTGAAAAAGTTCAAATTTACGAATTTTAATTTTACACATTTGCTTAATTTCAATTACTGATTTTGCTCATTTAATTTAAATTATGAGCACTTTTTTGGCTTCCTTGTTTATAATTATAAATAAAATATTTACCTATGCTCGGTGTATCGGTTGTCCAAAATGAGGTGTTCTTCAAGAATAGCACCCAGGTCTTCAATCTTCTTGAGGTCAACTCTCCTAGCTCGAACCTCAGCTGCCTTTTTCTGTTGGAAAAATTAAAAATGTGAGTTTGTAAATTTCAATTATAATTTGGTTTCAAAATGACGCAAAATAAAATATTTTACCTTTGTTGCTTCAAGCTGCGTTTCCAAGTTTCCAGACCCCTCCATCATAGAGGTGCTGAAATTTTGAAGAAAACGTTATAACAGTGCAAAGTGTGTGTCAAAATTAAATTAAACAAATGTAAGACAAATCAAGACTTTTGAGTAGTAGGGTGGCGACATAAGGTTAGTAATTATTAGTCTAAAACCAACACTGATTTAAATTCAAAAGAATCTTCATATTTAAAAAAAAAAATTATTTATACTTAGTTGATAAAAACAGCGAAAAATTTAATATAAAATTACCTAAGTAGCTTTTAAAAGAAATTATATTGTAGATTCTGTTAGTTACTTTTTAACCAAACATGAAATTATTATGTTTTTTTTTTTCAGTTAGGACAAACGCTTAAAAAGTTAGGGTTGGTTTGCAAGTTAAAACGGTTCATTCTAAGAAAAGTCGCTTTTAATCACCCGTCCCAGCCGAGAAGTCGCAACCTATTCATCACCAAAGAAAAAATATTAAGAATATTTTCAAAAGAAAGAGTATGATAATTAAATAGTGAAGGAGCAGCATAGTATCATTACCGAGTCTCGGTGAGCCAAGCGTGGAAGGCGTTGGCATGCTTGGCAAACTCCTTGCGCAGTTTGTCGTTCTCCTCCTGGCGCTGCGCCTCCTTGGCCAATTCCAAGTCGCGCTCCTTAATGATCTTCTGCAGGTTGCGCCAGGTGTCTTCCAGGGCCTCCATGGTGAACCAGGTGTACGGATTGGGGCCAACGTTGAAACTCTTGATCTGCTGGTCCAGGGCGGCGAGCGACTCGAAGTCGGTCTGGGCCGTTGAAAGTGAGGCCTGGAATTGGGCGTGCGCCTCTCGCAGGGCCCTGATCTCTTCGATAGAGTTGCAACGAACAGGGTCTGTCAAGTCCTCCTCGGCGTTCTCGAACCAGGAGTTGAAGGCAGAGGCCTTCTTGGCAAACGTCAGGTAGAGCTCCTCGATCTGACGGAACTGCTCCTGCATGCGCAAAAGTCGCTGCTTGCGAGCGTCAGAGTCGCTCAGCAGCTGCTGCCAACGGGCGATCACATCCCCATGGCGCTTCTGGATGGCAGCCGACTGGTCGTGGTTGGTGCTCACCAGCTGGTCCTTCAGCGCAGTGATGTTCTGGATTCCCTCGTGCTCAAAGGCGTGGAGACCTGGAGGAAAAATGCAAACACAATTAAATCAAATCAACTCAAAACCACTTTGGTAAATATTTAAGCTTATTCTGGAACAAAATTTTTTTATTGATAATTACCAGCATCAAATGTCTCCTGCTTCGTTAGGAGGGTCTGGACCGTAGAAAGGTCACGGCCGAACTCCTCCGAGCGCACATGGGTCTCCTTGTCTGCGATCCAAGACTCAACCACATCAGCCTTCCACATGAACTGCAGGTAAGCTGAGTTGTCCATCAGCTTGGCCTTGCGACGGGCAGCAAGGCTGGCCAGGTTCTCAAGTTTACTCTGCAAATAATTTCAATTCGTCAAGCATAAAAAAGAGAATTGAAAGCTTTTTAAACATTTCATTAACGGATTAAAACTTTCTTATTAAAATAAATGAATTAAATATAGTTCTGACCTGTAGTGTCTCGCAACGCTGCTGAATAGAGGCGGAGTGATGGTTTCCAGCGTTGATGAGTTTCTCACCAGCCTCCCCGATGTCATTGCAACGTCCGCGGTGGGCGGAAAAATCGGTCTCAAAAGCATCATGCTTCTTCAGCAGACCCTGGACAGCGGCCATGGTGTCGCCATAGTCCTCAACACCCAGCAGCTGCTGCTTCTCGCTAATCCACGCCTCCTCCTCCTCAACCTTGGCCAAGAACTGTTGGTAAGTAAGACTCTCGTCCAGCTTCTGGCCACGGTTGGCTGCCATCTGCTTCAGCTCGGCCCACGCCTGGTTCAGCAGCATCAGACGACGTTCGATCTCTGGCACTCCCAGGTTGGACACGTCCATCAACTTCTCACCAGCCTCCTGCACAGCTTGGATGGCTGGTTCGTGGCTACCCAGCTCAGCTTCCAGACGCTTGTGCTTCTTTTTCAAGTTCTGCACACCGGTCAAGTCACGGCCATAGTCATCTGAACCAACGAGCAGCTTCTTTTCCCTGGGGAAAAATTAAACAAATTTTTTGGTTTATTTTAAAATTACAAGTTTGGGAAATACATTATTCCAAATCAATTATATTGGACACTTAAAATTGATTTAAATTTTTAATCCTTTACTCACTTGATCCATGATTCCTCATCAGCAATGTCTCTGAAGAACTGATGCAGAGTGTTGGCCTCATTGAGACGAGCCTGGCGGTGGGCGGCCAAGTTCTTGATGCGCTCATAACGCTCATTGATGCTCTGTCTCTTCTCCTGGATGCTGGCTGCATCAAACTGACCACTGTCAATCAGAGAGTCTGCCTGGCTGTTCATATCTGAGAATTTGAAATTAAATTGTTATTTTTAATGCTCAAAATTTACATAGAAACACAAAATTACCAGAAATGCGGTCTTCATGGGCCTGAATGTCAGCCTCAACTAGCTGGTGCTTCTTGGTCAGATTCTGAACTGAGGCAAGGTCTTTACCAGCATCTTCAGTGGTCAGCAGAGATTCAACCTCGCCAAGCCAGAAGTCCAAATCCTTGACGGCAGCCACGTACGTGCGCTGCTTGTTGGCCTCCTTCAGTTTCAGAGACTTCTCGTTGGTCTTGTAGGTCAAAGTTTCCCACTGGTCAGCGATGGAATTGAGTCTCGCCTTGACCGGTTCCTCCGACCCAGCGCACTGGTGGCTGTCGATCAAATTGTTGCCCATAGAGAGCACGGCCTGTATGCGCTCAGCATTGGCGGCCAGCTCAGCCTCAAAGGCCTGGTGCTTCTGGTGCTTGGACTGGATGTTTGCTGGATCTCTGTAACTCTCCTCAGTGGCCAATTGGAGTTTCTCGGCAATCCAGTTTTCAATTTCGTCAGCGTCGCGGCTGAATTGTTGAAGAGTCTGTGACTCTCCAAGACGAGACCTCTTTTCAATCAGGGCCTCCTTCAGGTGGCGCCACCTTCCGAGGACCTCCTTCCTCTTGGCCTCAATGGCCGGGGACGCGTAATGCTCAGCTGCAATCAGCTGCTCGGCTAAAGTTTGCAGGGCAGCTATTTTCTCCTCCTGGGCATTGATGGCCTTGTCGAAGTCCTCATGCTTCTTGATTAGGGCCTCAACGTTGTCTCCCTTTGAGTCAACCTCTTCTGAAGCAAGGAAGGCCTCCCGAGAGGACATCCAGTTCTCAGCCTGCTCGCAGTCACGATAGTACAGCTGCAGTTCCAAACATTGGTCCAGCTGCATGCGGCGCGCAATCCATGCCTTCTCAAGTTCTTGACGGGCTTCGGCCATGGACTCAAGTTTCTCCTGAATTTCAACAGAAGCATAGTGGCCAGCCTGGAGCAGTTGTCCGCCAAAAAGTTCAAATGCTTGGAAAGTTCCAGCTCGGGCATCGATCTCAGTGCGGTGCTCCTAAGGAAAATTTTGGTTTATAATATTTGGAATTGATTTATAGAAAGACACAGAGTTAAAACAGCTCTTTGGGGAATTATAGTGTTGTATAAGTCAAATAAGTCAATAATAAATAAATAAATATTTTTGACATTAGATAATGATAATACAAAATGAACAGTTAAATTATTAAAAATCCTTCTTTTTTACACTTAAAAACACGCAAAATGGTAAAAGCATTGAATTGTATTAAGGTTATTCATTTGTAGTAAAACAAGGTAATAAAAATCTTTCAATATGAAATCAAGAAATACTAATCTGATTGCAAAAAAATTTATATTGCCTTAGAGTAAGGGAATGGGAAAAAAAGATTAAATAACACAAATTATGTGGTGCAATTGAGCTAAGCGCATTTTAAATTTTTCAGCACTTGACTCCTACTTTCAATCAGAAAAAGTGAATCCTTCTGTGCTATGAGCTCAATTTTGCCACATTTCTTTAAGAGGCAAAAGGTCATTAGTCAGTCAGTGCGACATTTTCAAGAAACACGCTGTGAGAGTAATTCAATAATTAGTTTAACAAGTGACACAATCCACTTAGAAAATGTTATTCTGCGGAGTTAATGTTAATTAAATTTAATCAATCTGTGCAACACTTGGTTATTTCTCTCTCTTGTCACTTGGTACCTGGTAATATGGAACACCATATCGAGCGTCAATTTCTGACCGGTAATTCTAAAACAAAACACCTGCCTGTATAATGGCTCTTGTGGATGGTTTAAAATCTGGTTAACCATTAGATTATGAATGTAAGACTCCCTTCCCGCATACTTTGTACAATTTCAATATGCAAGTAGAATTTTAAAAGTAATCCTTACCTGGTGTCTCTCAAGCAGCGCTTCGGCACTGGTGACGTCGCGACCGAGCTCATCATTGGCCACAAGACCCATCATAGAGTTGATCCAACTCATGAGGTCACGGTAATCTGACAGGAATCGCTGCAGGTCGTACGAGTCGAGCAGTTTCTCCTTGCGGCTGTTGGCCTTGGAAGTGAGCTGCTGCCAGGTTTCGTTGATCTCGAGCTGCTTGGCGTAAGTCTGGTCGGCAGTGTCTGCATGGGTGTGCATCAAACGTGTGGCTGTCTCATCCAATTGGCGGATCTGAACAGGTAAATAATTTTAATAAAGCACAAATTTGAAAATAGCAATATTTGCAATAACAAACCTTGTCGCCTAAAGCTGCCAAGTCTCTCTCCAGACCCTCGTGTTTCCGCTGCAGGGCCTGCACGGAGCGGAGGTCCTTGCCCAGGTCATCGTTGTTCAGGGCCTCATCCTTCTCCACAATCCAATCCTTGGTCTCATCCACGTCGCGGTGGAAACGCTGCACCTCGTGAGCAGAGCCAAGCTGTTCAGCGCGCTCAGTGGTCAGTTGCTGCAGGGACGTCCACTTTTCGTTCAAGTCCTGGATCTGCGTCTGGATCTTCAGAGCTGCCTCGGTTTGACCGAGACTCATCAGCTGCACGGCGATTTCATTCATCTCGGCTAGGCGCACTTCATTGGCCTTCAAATCGGCCTGGAAGTCATCGAACTTCTTCTGCAGCACCTCAACCTGCTCAAGGTCTTCGCCAACATCCTGGACTTGTGCGTAATTTTCCTAAAATTCGGGGTCAAGTCAGTTCTGGACTTATATGTCAACGAGCTTATTGGGGTATTAAAAAATCCCTGTGCCACAAAGTTAAGTTCAGTAGTTACGTTACCGAAACCATTATTTGGCCAAAGAACCATTTGAAATTTTCCAGAAAGGTATGATTTCAAAGTTATATAAAATCAAAATAAATTTTTACAATCCACGGGTTGATCAAAGACCTTCAAAACGTAGATTTGTTTCAAAATCAGGATATGCGAAATGGTATGATAAATTCTGCGATTTAAACTTAGTTTTTAGACTGGAAGCCGGCGAGCAAAAGTACAAAGCTAACATATATTAAATTAATACATTTTTTAACAACAATTTCCTCTTCAAATTTTCAAATAAATCCATGTGCTTTTCAGGCCTTCAAACAAAATTATTTTCACATTGGTAAAAAGAGCTATGGCAAAAGCTTTATACATATTATGTGGCTGTTCAACACTGAAAGTTCTTCAGCGAAAAACAAGATTTTTCATAAATTTTAGGGTAAATAGTGGAGGGAGTGTATGTAATACCTGAGCGTGCTTTTCCTGTTGACAGGTTAGAGCCATCACGAGTGTAAGAATGGAAAATATACAAAACCTAATTAGTGTTTCAATTGATTAAGATCTGGAAAAGATAGCATGCGATTCCTTCCATCCACTCTCCAAATATAAAATACCCTTTCCATCCACACCACCCAAGTATATTTTAATTTATCCAACGCCTACCTTGTCCTTGATCCAGGAGCCAAGCTCGGCCGCCTCACGAACGAGAACATAGGCCTTGACAGTTTCGTTCAATTTGTTTTGCCTCTCCTTGGCAAGTGAAAGCAGATTCGAGTACTGGGTCTCAATCTGGTGCTGTCTTGCAGCAATCGAGCTGCTGTCGGCCAAATTCTGCTGAGACGCTGTGAGTCCAGCGTCCATCTTCTTTACATAGGCGGCTGGCACAAAGCCCTGGCGGTCATTGACCTCCACCTTCCACCAGTCCTTGTTGTTTGAGTTCAACAGAGCAAGGACGTCACCTTTCTTCATGGAAACCTCACGGGGAGACTTTTCAGTATAGTCGTAGAGGGCGATGACACATTCCTTGCCCGTCACATCCACCACAGGGGTCTCTTGCTGCCTGCAGGCTTGAGCCTGTTCCTTTAGGGAGGAAATGGTGTTGCCAAATGCCTCCAAATCAGACATCAAAGCTTCATGTTTCTTCAGAAGGGCTTCGGATGAGTCTTCGTCTTTTCCGTAGTCCATGTTGACAACCAATGGCTCCTTTTCCTTGATCCAGCTTTCAGCCTCGTTGGCATCAGCAAAGTATTGGTGGGCCTAAAATTTTAATAAAAAATTATCAAATATTATTTTGAAACAAAGGAATTGGTGATTTAGTTAACAATAATCAAGAAATTCTTGGCTTACCTGAAGAGAGTCTTCGAGGTCCTGCTTGCGCTGCTGTGATTTATCCTTCAGCTGAGTCCAGTGGTCATTGAGCTGCCCGACGCGATGCCTGATATCATCAGAAGCAAAGTGGCCTTCTTCAACCATGGACTGACCAGCCTGGCACACAGCTGAAATGCGGTTGTCATGGTTGTTGATCTCAGCCAGAACGGCCTGGTGCTTCTTGATTAGGTTCTGTACGCCAATGAGGTCTCGGCCACGGTTGGTCGAAGCTGCAACGGGCTCCTTTTCACGAATCCACGCCTCCTCATCTTCAACATCGCGGAAAAGTTGCTGCACTCTGAGTGAGTCAAGCAGACGCTGCTTGCGAATGCTCATCGGACGCTGGAGTCCACTATATCTGTCAGAGAGGGCAGACTGCTTGTTGCGGATGTTATCTGCATCGAAGTGGCCCCTTTCAACAAAAGTCTCAGCTGCTGAGTTGATCCCTTCGATTCTCTCCTGGTGGGAAGCAACGTCAGCCTCCAACAGGGCATGCTTCTTCTGCAAGTTCTGCACGCTGGTCAGGTCCTTGCCATAATCCTCGCTCATCAACTGACCCTCAATTTCAGAGAGCCACATTTCAACATCCTCAACTGTTCGGTTGAACTGCTGCTGCTGAGAAGCTTCCTGGAGTTTAGAACCCTTCTTATCAGTGGCGGCCACCAGACTCTCCCACAGATTGACAATCTCATCAGTGCGAGACTGAATGCGCTCAGATGCATAGTGCTGAGACTCAATCAATTCCTGCCCGGTTGAGGTGATTTCCTCCATACGGGACTTGTTAGCATTCAACTCTTGCTCAAAGTTTTGGTGTTTCTGGACCTTTCCATTCAAATTAGTAGGGTCCAGATAGTTGTCATCGGTGGCAAACTTCAATTTTTCATTGATCCATCCCTTGGTCTCGTCGCAGTCCCGCTCGAACTGTTGGAGACGGAAAGAGTCATCGAGGAGAGCTCTACGAGAGCTGGACTTTTCCAAGAGGGCAGAACGCCTTTCCAAAAGCAGGGCCCTGCGCTGAGCCACATCATCAGCTGCATAATGCTGACCTTCGATCAGTTTGGTGGCAAACTCGTCCAGGGCTTTGATTTTCTCCTCCTGGGCAGCCAGGGACTTTTCAAAGTCCTCATGCTTCTTGATCAGAGCCTCCACTGAGTCAAGGGAGTCACCAAGGTCCTCATTGGCCAGGAAGGCCTCTTGCTTGGCCATCCAAGTATCGGCCTGCTCAGTGTCGCGGTAGAAAAGTTGCAAATCCATGCACTGCTCATACAGAATGCGACGTTCCTCCCAGAGTGAGAGAAGAGAAGTCTTATCGTTAGCCAGACCAACCAACTTCTCTTGCACCTCCTCCGCAGCGTAGTGCTCCTGCTGGAGAATCATCTGACCTGCTTCAGCAGTGGAACGAAAACTGTCCTCACGGGCATCAATTTCACCCTGGGAACAAAATGGAGAAATTTGAATTTGATATAAAAATGGTATTTAACATAAAAAGTAAACAGTTACGAATGATTGGTAATTTACTGAACTTAGAGAATTTGCTTACTTTGTGCTCCTGGTGTCTCTCAAGAAGAGCTTCTGCGCCTGGGACGTCCTTAGCAAGTTCATCAGCAGAGATGATGGCTTTCATGTCATTGATCCAGGATGACAAGTCCCTGAAATCGGCAAGGAATCTATGCAGATAGTAAGATTCCTCTAGTTTTGTTCTGCGTTCCTAAAATTTAAAAAAAAAATCGCATTTAGTTGGTTCCTTTAATGCATTGGAATGAGGAATACCTTAGCTTTGGCAGTCAAACTGGTCCAATAGGTGACGATTTCAGCCTTCTTTGACTGAATCTGCTCAGAGTGGTCAGAGTGGATGTCGCACAGGCGACTAGCTTCGGTGCTCAAGGTGGTCACCTTGTCCTCCAGTGCTGCCAAATCGCGTTCAACGCCCTCGTGCTTGCGCTGCAGAGTCTGCACGCTGGCCAAATCGCGGCCATACTCATCAGAGGAGAGGACGACGTCCTTCTCAGAAATCCAAGCCACCGTCTCATCGGCGTCTCGGTTAAAGCGCTGAATCTCATGGGCGCCAAACAATTTCTCCTGGCGCAACAAAGCCAGCTGCCTGAGGCGCTGCCAAGCTTCATTCAGCTCTTCCTTGCGCTTCTGGATTGTCTCCCTGTCAGGGTGGGCTTCGGTCACCAGTCGGTCAGCCTGCTCGTTGACTTCAGTGACGCGATACTCCTGAGAGGCCATGTCCTTTTGGAACTCATCAAATTTGCGCTGCAGGACCTCAACGTGTTCAAGGTCATGACCAAACTCATCAGTGGTCACAAATGTCTCCTACAACATAAAATCAAAACCGATTAGAGATTCCCAATCATATGAAAATTTTTGAAAAAAAGATTTTTCGATTACTTTGATTGAAATTTAAACTGACCTTGTCGCTGATCCAGAACATGACCTCGTCGCACTGGCGCAAGAACTGGACAAGAACGAGTGACTGCTGCAGTTTGAGGCCCTTGTCGGCCAACCGAGAAAGCAGTTTCTCCCAAAGTCGGTGCAGCTCGTCAAGGCGTCTGCGAATCATGTCGGAGGCAAAGTGGCCCTGGTTGATCATTTCAAGGCCGGTGTTGTCAAGAACGACAATGGCGTTCGAGTGGGCTGCCACCTCAGCCTCAAAGGCCTGGTGCTTCTGAATCTTGGCCTGCAAGTTGGAAGAGTCTTTGTAGCTCTCGTCGCTGGCGGCCTGCAGCTTCTCGTAGATCCATCCTTCGAGCTCGTCGGCGTCTCGTTTGAAGTACTGGTAGCGCCGCGAGTCCTCCAACTTCTCGCGCTTGACTCTGGCGCCAGCCTTGAATTGACCATAGCGGCCGAGAACTTGCTCTCGCCGATCCTGGATGTCCTCGGCAGTTTCCAGGATCTTGACGTCTTTTGGAGCCGACACCGGATCCATGGCGTCGTCCAACTGAAGCAATATAAGAGTGTTGCATTAAAACACTGAATATTGTTGACAAATGTGGTTGATATTAGCTTAGATACAATTGCATTGAAATAATTGTTTTTCTCCAAAAATAAAGAATTTAGAAATTTTAGCCTAGTACTAGCATATAAAATTAAAAAAAAAGTAGATGGAAGTAAAGAGATCAGGCTTTTTCTTGTTGCGAAAATTGTTTTTATTACAAAGAAATGGCTCTACCAGTTTTGGTCATGTTCTACGACCCTATTTTATGAGCAAGAAATATACAAAAAATCAGCAAAATTGAAAAAAAAAAACATTCTGACTTAAAAATTAAAATCTTAAAACTAGAACAGATTCAAGTATCAACTTTGCAACAAGGAAAAGCCCGATTTCTTCATTTCCATGACCATCTTCTTGAGTGTCGATTTCTTCAAACAAATAAAAATTGATGAACAAATTTATCAAAATTTGTTTCTTATCTACTGAATTTATTTCGATATTTTCAAATATTTTGCATTATTTTTATTTAAAAAAACTTGCCAGTAGATATTCACTCACAATCCATTTTAGAATAAAATAAAAACAGCGATATTAAAAGCGTACATGTACAAAAACGTCTTTGATTTAACCATTGAAATAATTTTGTACATTGAATGAAAAATTTAAATGATGCTCTGGTTCTTGCTTCTAAATGTGACGTTTTTAGTTTTATTGAATGCCATCCTATTCTGATTGAGGGATTAATTTTTTTTTTTTAGGGTCAGGCCAAGACAAAGTCTTGTCGGCCTGTGCCCTTTATTGGTGGTACAGAAGGCACCACCCAATTATTATTTTTATTTTTAATTTGTGGGTTCAACTTTATTTAAATGTTTCCTTAAACGTCATTAATCGTCAAGATTTATTAAAAAAAATGCGCATCAAATTTCATAAAAGCACTGACACAAAACGCTAATTATATTGATTTTTTCTTAGAAAAAACCTTAATTTTTAAAACAAGTGATGTGCTTAAAAAATCCTCGCTTTTTCGACATTTCAATATTTTTTCCTGCCAATTATTCGTAATTTCGAAAGAAATGACGCGCCCTTTCGACCGCAACGGTTCCGAGCAAACAAAGGCATCGTTATCTGGCTTGAAGGCTCCCAATTTGATCATCACTCAAGCCTATTTGCACGAACGGCCAAGTAATAAAAAGAAAGGAGTGAGTCTAGGCGGCACCCCGAGACCGACCGTGCCTCAGAGAAAATCAATAACCGCGGCTGCAGCCCTCGCCCCAAACGCGTTTCACAGCCAAAACCCGCACCCCATTTTTTGCCCTCTGAGACGAAACTGACTTTAACCCTTCGAAGGTCACCCCTGACCTGTTCTCCATCGTCCTGTCGCGGCCGCTGCTCCCCTTCCGGAAGGGCCTCCTCCTCGTCCAGCTCGGCGACGTCGTCGTGAACGCGGTTTTCGGAGATTTCGTCGGCCAAGACGTCGACCGTCGACGTCTCGTCGACCTCCTCCGTCGTCACGGAGTTGGTCTGCGACATTTTGGGTCTCGGACACCGCCCTTGCAGACTCGGCTCGAGAGGAATGTGGGACGACGAGTGTTTAGTCGGCCAAGCGGCTCGATAAACTGCTGCTGGAGGCGGCGGCGGCGCACGCCCTCCGTACCATGTCGCATTGCGCGCCTCCCCCCGCCACACTTTGATTTTTTGCGTGCAAATTTTCCACCCACACGTCTACTTGGGTCCAATTTGCTCGTCTGTCAAGTCACGCTCTTTTTCCGCAAACAAGCGACCAAGAAAAAAGGTGAAGAGAACCTACATTATTTTTGTAACGAGCCAAAAATTTGTCCGTTGACATTTTCATTTTAAATGGGAAGAGCTGGTCAGAACTTTCAACACGGCAAAATGGTAACGTTCACTGCCATTTCCTTCCATCTTGAAATTTTAATATTTGCAGCCATTCTAATTAATTTATAATTTAATTTAGCGTGGATTTCTCAGACTAATTTGAAAAAAAAATTAGCTTAACTTTTGAATCAATCTGAAATAATTTCAAATTCATTTCTCTTCATTCTTTAATTTTATAAATCATCTGAAAATTAAAAGCCTTAAAATGTGTAGTTTCCGCCACTGCTAGTGGAATTTATTTCAGCTTTAAACACGCAAAGCAGCCTCGTTTGGGCGCCCCTGTGTCGCTTTGCATTTTGCATTCAAAAGGGAAGGGAGAACGGACGCCATTTGAAAATGTGGCTTAGAACAAAAAACCGGCTCATAAATCTGAAATCGTCTCGAAAGCCGGTTTGAACTTCTTCTTGTACAAGCTCGCTTGTTACGCCTCCGAGGTAAAAATTAATAATGCAGCTTGGCTGAAAATCACGGCGGTGATTGGGATCGATCGAGCACCTCCGTGTAAAGAGGGGTCAAGGCGCGGCCAAGTTAGGTGTCGGTTTCACGCCTAATGGATGTAAAAAAGAAGCTTGGAAGGGCGGCCGGAAGCGCGTTTTGCTATAAATAGACTCGGACAAGTAGAAATGCGTGCATCTGGCGGTGCAAGAGAGACAGGGGGTGCTTCACATGGAAAGGAACTCTTGACGCCGTCAACTGCCATTGTTGGTCACGTTCATGTTCATACTTGCAATTTTTATATATTACTTGATAATAAATTGACAGTTTTATGTGAATATTAAAGCATGACTTAAACTTTAATTTAAATATTTTTTCCAATTTTTTTTTTTTTTTTTTTATTTAAAGCACAATTCACGTTAAGTGTCAAATAAAGAATATCAAGAATTTTTTAACAATCTTTTGAGATAAAAATGTTTGCTTTCATCAATATGAATTGCATGAAAAAATTTATATTAAATTACCAATTAATTTAATTTAAAAAAGGAGCCTTAATTGACGATTCAGAATATAAAGTTTTGCCTCAATTATTTTATTATTTTAAAATTTTCATTTCTAAAACGGTGATTTTAACGATTCCGTAATTTCTGAGGCACTTGGCGACTTCTACGAAATGGTGCTCATTCCCCTCGGGGCCGTTTTACAAAAGGCAATCGGAGAAGGTCGGCGTGGCAGTCGCTGTATAAATTGAGCACCATTCCATACACCGGTGCTGCACCGATGACGTGATCCCCTATTTTCACAGAAGTGGCCTCTCTCTCTCTTTCATTATCCACGCTCCGCACGAATGCGCTCATAGTACGAACTACGTCACCATATGAGTTCAAAAACTTTGGATTTTATATTTTATTAGAAAATTTGATAAAATTCAGACAAATATTTTAAATATTGAATAATGTGGGTTATTAAATTAGTTTTATTGGAAATGAAGAGATCGGGCTTTTCTTCGTTGCAAAAATTGTTTTTATTAAAAAAAAAAACGGCTCTTCCAGTTTAGGTTACGATCTTCGACCCTATTTCGTCAGCAAGAAAAGCACACAAAAATCAGCAAAATTGAAAAAAAAAAACATACAACATAGGTTGGTACTTGAAATTGTTAGTTTTAAGATTTATTAATTTTTTAAATACGTTTTTTACAATTTTGCTGATTTTTGTAATATTTTTCTTGCTCATGAAATAGGGTCGCAGACCGTGACCAAAACTGGCAGGGCTTGTTTTTGAATAAAAACAATTTCCGAAACGAGGAAAATCCCGATCTATTCATTTCCATGATCATCTTATTAAGAGCAAATTTTTTCAAACAAATTAATTTTAGTATTGAAAAATATATTGGAAGGCTCGAAATTTAGAAATTATTGTATCAAGTTATAATTTTAAATGTTTTTTTCTTTATAATATTTGATTTCCAACAGATTTTTCGAGAAAATATTCAATACTTTTATTCATTTTATTGTTCCTCTTCTGTCGGTCGCCCCTTGGCCCTGAAAATCGCGGGCACCCCTTGCGAAATGGAACCCACCCTTTGGTGTACGCCGGCGCGAGTTTTGCCGAGCAAAACAATAATACATGTGATGAGCACACCGTTCTCCACCGTCGTCATCGCGCCGGAATGCGATCACTTATTATTTTACTATTTGCCTTCAGATTCGCGAGACTGACTCGGACAGATAATCTGGGCGTGTCAACAGACGGTTTCCTTTTTATCTCGCTCGCAATCCTGTCCTGATTGACCTTCTAATGACAGTTTCAATTGAATTTTTTCCATCCAACTTAATAATTGAGCAACAATCAATTAAAACTATTAAAAGTAACGAATTATATAATATGAAATAAATTATTGATTTTATATTATGGGAAATGTGGATTTTGAAAGACTGCCTTTTAAAAGCTTTCGTTGGCACTTGTCTGGTTTCGCATCGGAATGCGCCCTACACTGAGCCTCAGACGGAAATTCCACTTCAAATTTTAATTCAAAAGGAACCGTATTTAGAGGATGAAAAACTTGTCTGGTCCGCCGATCACAGCGGGTGATGTGATCGGCTAAATTTAGCCGAAATTATTCTCTCCCGAGTGGGGTGTGGCAGATGACAATGTAATGATCGTGTCGGGACGCGATTTTAATTAAAATAGAGGGAAAAGTGGCTTGTTTGATTCATTACCTATTAAATCAGGTCTTCTTGAATCTGTCCGCACTGCTTCGGCGAAGTATTTGGGCGAAAAAAGGTTGAAAAACACGAAATTTGTCCCGATCACCGGGAGACGACTCTTTCAATTCAAGTGGGGGTGACGTCAACTCAGGGCTGCCAATGTGAAGCAGCTAAAACTCATTATCCAAAGACCAAAATGTTGTTTGACCTAAAACGGCTATGACAATTTAATATCTACTTTATATAGTTTTCTATTAATTCTCAGTCGTAAAATATAAATTTTGAGTAGGTACTACAAATTTGAATTGAATTTCGTCCAAGATTAACGTTATTAAGTTGGCAGCAGAGACAGCATTTAACGCAAGAAGAAAACCAAGAAGAAAACGCTTGGTTTAAAGTGCATCGTGCAGGTTGCATACGTTTCAGGAGTCATGCCGATAGTGTACGCTATGCAGAACTCTTCATACATGATTTTAGAAATTTTTATCATTGAACTTTTACTTTTATGGCAAATCAAATTATATCGAAAATGTGGATTTTTTTATAGATAATAATTAGGTTATTGCGTTATTATTTTAAAAATTTCGCAAATAGTAAAACACAATAATTATTTCAACTTAAGTGTTTTAGAAAGGCAATCATTATTTTAATTTAAAAATCGGTCGTTTGCTCAAAATATAAAATTCAAATAAGATTTTGATTTTCTGAATGTGGTCAAATTTCTGCTTTATTGAAAATTGAAATTTCACTTCACAAAATATTATCATGCGCCGAAGAACAATGGGAAATGCTGGCCAGCAACAGGATTTGTAGGTGTAAATGCAATTCGTGACAAATAAAGTTGGTCTACTGAATTAGCAACAGAAAGAATAAAAAATGTCTCTCTCAAATAAAATGACATTGGAATTTGGGATGGCAAAATATAATGGGCATTATACTTAATTATATATCAAAATATTCACTAGAGTGCAAGTAAACTATAACTAAAAACATGATTTTGGAGTGTATAACGGTTTGAAAAAAGATTCTTTTTTAACAACTCTAACAAAATTTGATCAACTGGCAATTCAATTATCAATTCTAAAATTTTTTTGCTTTTCAGTCTTTGCGCTGTTATTACATTTACAGTTGACAGTGCAAAACAATATTGACCAAATCAATGGTTTAATACATTTTCCAGACATGACAGCCTGCTTTTCTGACATTTTGAAACTAAATTTAAGTTTATATTGTAATAAAAGCTACATGCTTAAGCAAAATCTAATGTTACCTTTGTCTATAATTATAAATCGGCAAAAACAATATTATTTGATCATGCAAAATATCATAGCACCTGTTCAAATTTCTGTTACAAAAATGACAACTGCAACTTTTTTTTCAAATGCGCAGTCAATTGTCAACAAATACAATTCGAATTGGATCATGGTTTGTCTAAAAACCATTTAGAACAAAGATGTTGTAAGTGCATAAAAATCTATGGGGCTTCATAATTCGTTCAAAAACTTTGAAAGGAACTGCTGTGAATGGAGACATAGCTCAAAATCATTCTATCTCTCCCTCGATGAATGATTCCAGAACTGGAATTGTGTTAACGTCAAAGCCTGCAAAGTCCATCATGTGCAAAGAGCGTGGAGGCTGTGCGACGTTGATGGCCATGTTGGACAAAGAGCACAAAGCGAATCTAAGGAAAATATTAGTTAATTCCAACCCATTGATTTACTTGAATTATAGGTCCATGTTCCGGTTAATTCTACTTTTAAACACTCAGAAAATATTACCTGGTTTTCGGATGGTTCATTTCTTTCTGGTAAGAATTCAATGCAGTGTAAGGTGATGCGTGAGGAGGATTCCAGTCCCAGTCTTTGAGACAAGGAGTGACCAGCACAAAGGCATCTACGTCTCTTTTTTGTTCAGTAGCCCAAGCAATCGGAGCACCCAGCTTAGGGTTCTTTTGTGGGTCCACCTAGAATAAAGATAATAACATCAATATTTGTGAACTGCATAAATAAAAATAAAGTACCTTTCTGAATTCGTCAGCAATCTTTTCCACAGTAGTGGCATCCTTAAGCACATCGATTGTTGCCAACCCCATTATAATATCCTTGTGGTCGTCAAAAGCCAACAGATAGAAGTTGGTGTAGCGCTTAGAGAGGTAAAGAGCAATCAGAGCGGCTGCTCCCCAAGAGTTGACGGAATGAGTTTGGGCGCATTTGGAATTTTCGGAACGAAGATCCACTGCCATCACTACATTTTTCTTGCTACTTGGTTTGATGGCCTGATGGTAATTTTAGAAATTAATTCTTAATTCAAGTAATGTGTTTACTTTTCTCTTAATTAAATTTTACTAATGGAATAATTTCCATTTTGCTAGTGACGAGGTTAATTTTAAATTAAAAAAAAAATACCTTCAATGATGCATCAAACAGTTTTGCAAGAGCTTCAATGATAACTGGAGAGGTCTCTTTAGGCTTCACACCTATCTTGCTCTTTCTCTCCAGCCAATATTTAGAGTCAAATACATGGTTGTTGCTGCAAGCAAATGAAATAATTTTATGAAATGAGAAATATTTTAATTTTTACTTTGAGAGAGCTTTCAAGTAGTTCCTTTGGGTGATAAAGACCTCAGCAAGTTGAACTTCTCCACCAGCAGACTCCTTCTCAAAAACAGTTGCAGCCACTGGCCAAACTTCCTTGCTCAATTGGAGACGCCAAAGTCTGGGCATGACTTGCAGCAGCTCTTTAGCAGACATTTTCTCTATGAGCGCCTTCCAGACAACAATGGTGAGTTTTTCTGACGGCACGTCCAGAACTCGAAGTTTGTGTTTCCGGACCAGCTCGGCCAGAGGTTCTTGGGTAGCCGCCCTCTCTAGCTTCAACTTTTCCAGTTCTTGAATTACCTCTGAGAAGGCTGGCTTCGAGCTGTACTCTTTGATGGTTTTCTCAAAGCCAAAGAGAGCAAAGCAGAGCACAGCTGCCAATGGTGATTCTGAGAATCATCGAGTTAATTACAAGAAATTAAGAGCAGTCAAATCTAATTGTACCAGAGTGGCGGGCCTTGACGTGGGCCATTTTGATCAAGTCACAGTGCTTCCATCCAAAATGACCACCTTTGTGGGCAACATTTTTTAATAATTTTATGGGATCTTGCTCCTGGTACCATTTAATAATAAACGTCCTCAAGCCTCTGCTCAAGCCTCCTAAAAGTACAAGTTTCCAAGAATTAGCTTTAAGTTTGTTATGATTTGATAAATCAGTAAATTGGAAGAAAAATATTTGCCAACATTAACATTAACAAAATACTAGAAAATATTAATTAATTTTACGTCTTTGCTTCTTCTTAGGTGGCTCTTTTCCAGTCTCACTTTGCTCGGGTTTTTCCTTACTAGCAAGGCTGACAAAGAGAAACAAGTCCTCCTCGCTACGGAATTGCCCCTTGGCTACCTTATAAGCGAAAGTTCTGAAGTAGTCTCCTGCCGACTTTGAAATTGGCTCATATTGAATGCACTGAACAAGTGCAAAGATAGCACACTCCCTGAATGGCTTTGAGTCATTCGCCAGTTTACGTGCCACCAAATGAATAAATAGCAGAAATGAAACCTGAGAAAAAAATTGAAAGTTAATTTTGGAAACATTCTAACTGTATTTGCTAGAATAACCTCCTGTTTTGAAAGTTCTCCGTTTTTAATGCAGGGCTCATTTTCCCTGAGGATTTCGTGAATCACAGCAGCATATTGCTGTGACAACCTGCCTGGTTTCAGCCGACAGCCTGGCTGATAGAGGGGTGTCTCGTCTCCGTAGTACAGGAAGCGTTGCAGCCTGTTTATTTTGGGCTGCAAGGCGCTATTCATGTAGAGAACATGGTACTTCTTTGCCTCCTTTTGCACTTCACTCAGTTCAGTTATGCCCAGGCTCTTCAGCCTCTCCGATAGCAACTCAAGCACGTTGTCGGCAATGCCCTCCTGCATCAATAAATAAGTGTTTTAAAACTTGTGCACTAGATTGTTCCAAATAATGAGAACAATGCAAGAAAAAAAATATGTATGTAAAGAGTGCAGTCTTTGCACTTGTCAGGTTTCGGCAGAATGTTTTTATGTATTTATTCAAAGGAAATTCGGAAAAAATACATAATGGTAAAAAGTTATCGCGCATCATTTTGAAGCACGCGTTCATACTAATCTATGTAGTCATCCAAAATCCGTTTGCCATTCTCTTATACGGATTATTTCTAATAAGGTGGGTTCAAAGCGGAAATCAACTATCCCTCTCGAAAGGCAAGCAATGTAGCGTGGTGTCTTGCATCCAAATTAATAAAGTATCTACAATGGTTCGATGTTTTTCTTTCCTCTCTCTTCTCTCGCCTTTAACCACACACATAATTCTGTTCATACATAAATTACATATGACGTTTGATTTGATAATTATGTACACGTAGCAAAGGCTACAATTCCAAAATAAACATTTAAAACGATTTAAAACATCATTACCTTTGGATCAACTTTCATTTCGTCCTCGTCTACACCACGTTTCTTCGCTCCTTCCATTTTTGTTTTCCTTTGATGTTGAGGGCGACGAAGCCTCCGCGGTTGCCTCCGCGAGAAGAACAATTTCTTGTTTTTGTCCGACGGCCCTCGAGGGTTTTTCTCGTTTCTCCAATCCAAGGATCTTTTATTATAAAAAATGAAAGATCCTTGATCCTCTTGTTGATCCTTGCCAAGAAGGATCCTTCGATCCTTGCTCCAAACCAACAACCCAACAACGCAACAACAACGTGTGAACGTGCTCGTGCTCTCTGCCGCTGGCCCGCTGCTGCCAACAATACAATGCTGCCAACACAATTGTTAATTGTTAATACGCAAAAGTACATATGTGTATTCCCGCTTCAATTTGAAATGGAAAGTGTCGCACAACGTCGCACGGCGCCAAGCAAAGTGGGAGTTTTACTAAGGAGATAAATAAAATCACAAATAATCTAATGAATTATTTTTTTATACCGATTTAAAATCATAAAAAAACAATGAAAATAAAATATAAATTATTTTTGCTATTTTTCTTCAGAACATCTTTTATTTTGTTAAATAACCTTAAGGAATGAAACACCCTACTAACCCCTCCTTTATGAACGCACTTGTGTCGCAGCGCCGCCATGTTGAATTGTTTAATGTTATTGCATTTTCGCTTTTCGCTCCTTATTTCTTCCAATTTCCATTTCTGCCAGTGGATTATTTTTGCATAAACTCATCCGTGGGCACGTTGAAGGACTTAAAAATTGTAATAGAACAGGTTAACATTTTCTCTATTTAACAACTTGTAAATATTTAAATTCAGCGGCCTTTCCCATGCGGAAACAAACGTTTTATTGGAAACTTGTTGTCGTGACCCAGAATTTTTTAAGTTTGTAAATACACGTAATTTCTAGCAAAATGGCCACGATTCATTACTTCCCCATGAAAGTGGGCTAAGTTTTCTATGCATATTTACATTGCAAATCTGAATTTGTACGTACTACTTACTTTAAATCACTTAATATGCTCAATTCTCAATTGCTCGCGGTTTTTTTCATCAATTATACATAATATGTACCGAGAATTTTCGTCTCCCTGCAGTCTCTGTTCTCGTGTACAAATCCTGTTTTTGCTTATCTACTGGAAGCATAATACGTCAAAAGTTAAAAGCCATTTTCCTCAAACGTAAACCAACTTTATGTAATATGCATTCATTTCTTAATCGCAGACAAACTGGCATAGAAAATGAACGGTGAGGAGGATGTGGACGTTCCGACAAAGTCGGGCAAGAAGAGCAATGTCTTGCCTCTGTGGGGCAATGAACGCACCATGAACCTGAACAACCTGATCCTCACCAACATACAAGCCTCTCACTATTTTAAAGGTGTGTATAAAAACAACTTGAAAGTTTCAAACCAAATTTAATATTAAATCATCAAATTTCAGTCAACCTGTATGAGTTGAAGACTTATCATGAAGTGGTTGATGAAATATATTACAAAGTCAGCCACTTGGAGCCTTGGGAAAAAGGCAGCAGGAAAACGGCAGGCCAGACTGGAATGTGTGGAGGGGTAAGATTTTACTTGTTCTAAATCCAATTGAGTCCCACACGCTTTAACAGAATTTTCAGTTAAGCGTTTCTTATTTGTTACGTCAAAGTAACGTGAGTAATATTATTAAAAATTAAAAGAGTTAGATATTATTTAGGCTGCCTTGAATTAGTTTTTCAATCAATTGATTAAATCTGTTTCAGGTTCGTGGAGTTGGTGCTGGTGGTATCGTGTCCACGGCCTACTGTCTCTTGTACAAACTGTTCACCCTGAAGCTGACTCGAAAGCAGCTTAATGGTCTGCTCACTCACCCTGACTCGCCTTACATCAGAGGCCTAGGATTTATGTACATCAGGTTTGTGCACAGAGATTTTTTTGTGATTCGACACTTTCATTTTACGTTTTTAGATATACTCAGCCACCTGCAGACTTGTGGGATTGGTACGATGAATTCTTGGAAGACGAAGAGGTGAGGATAAGGTTAAATAAATAACTGCTTGTCGTCGATCTTTCATTTTTTATTTCAATATAATTTATATTATTTATTGCCATGCAAATTGATTATCCTTTTTGTATTTCAGGAGTTTGATGTTAAAGCTGGTGGAGGTCAGGTGATGACCATTGGCAACATGTTGCGGCACTTCCTGAGCAAACTCGAGTGGTTCTCTTCATTGTTCCCGCGCATTCCAGTCCCAATTCAGGTAAAAGCTCTTTGTGGATTTTCTTGATATTGCTATCGTTTGCACACAATTTGGATTTTTGATGCACTTCAGTCTTTCACTTTTTTACGATCAAAGTCGATCAATTTCTCTGCAGAGGCAAAACTTCACAATATCAGCACCAGCCCTGTTTCTCTCGATCCGTCTGCCGTACGCAGGTGGTCTCAAGTGCAGTTGTCGAGTGTGTTGACTCACGCAGTGCTTCCGTTTGCAGGTGTTGCTCTGTCTGTTCCCCATCTCTTACTGAGTGCTCACAGACCAATCAATCAGTCAGAGTAGTTTGTAAGTCTGAAGTCGCAAAAGACCAACAGTCTCTCTATCTCTTTCTCTCAAAGCCACAAGACTCGTCAAGCTTCGTATCACACTTGATTTGTCACCTAGTGATATGAACTTGGTCCTCATCTTCACTAATCCACTGATCTCATTCCTTCCTTGTGTTGCAGCAAAAACTCGAGCGTCAGCTAAATGAAAGATTTCCAGCTCCACCTCCTGGAGCGGCCCCTGCTGCTGCTGCAGTAGCGCCGAGACCTGAAAGGCGGAGAGATTATGAGGAATATCCAGAGGAGAGACCTGAAAGACCTTTTGCCCGGTCCAGGAGGTGGGTTTTCACTTTTAGTTTGGAAAAATACTAAAACTATTTTACAGATCTACCAGTCGAGACTCGCCTGCTCACAAAAGAAGCCGAGATGACAGACCAAGAAAGGAGAGACGCAGTCCTGATCGTACCAGAGATCGGCACAGAGATAGGAGCAGAGAAAGAGACAGAAGTCGTGAGAGGGATGGAAATAGGAGTCGAGACAAAGACAGAAACGGACATTCGAAGCATCATAGATCATCCAGAGATGAATAGTCAGTTTCAATTTTTTTGTTCAGGACGAAGTAATAGCATTTTTTTTTTAATAGCAGTAGCTCCAAGCACAGATCACACAGTAGCAAAGACTACGCTTCCGAGCTGATGAAAGAAAAAGAGCGACAGAAACGTGAGAGAGATAGCAGCAGGTGAGGTAAAACTGCTGATGCTGCTGTCCAGATAATACCTAACAAGTTTCAATTTCCAGATCCTCACCTTCCAACCGATAGCTCACACTCGCCTAGGAAACTTGTTCATAACCAAACACATCTTTGTCATGGACGGTGTCTATTTAATATTTAAATGTTTTGTGAGGACAAAAAGAGTTCAATGATTCTTAATAAAAGACCAATTTATAAAATAATCATGTATAATGGAGTTTAATTTAAGCATGCACATTTCTTAAATAAATTTATTCACTGCTGGAAGGCAGAGTTGGCTGCAATACTCGGGTTGTTGATCTGTTCTCCCAGAAGTTCTAGAAGCTCCTTTCTGTAATCGTCAAAGTCACCATCCAGCTCATTGATTGTCTTGTCCTCGATGACCCAAAGAGAGCAGTTTGTATCTCGAATTAGACGCTCGTCGTGACTCACGATAATTACACCTGGATTAAAGCAAGTTTTAAATTAAAAACCAATTTAGATTTCATTTTCCTACCTCCTTTGTAGTCATTGATTGCGTCTGCCAAGGCATCAATTGATTCGATGTCTAAGTTATTGGTAGGTTCATCCTGATAATACAGAAATTTATTTAAGCTAATAATTAATATTGCATATCTATTTACCAAAATGACAACGTCGGGAGCGTTTAGACACAGCTCAGCCAAGGCAACTCTTGCCTTTTGACCGCCGGAAAGATCCTTCATTTTAATTGTGTGTGCGTGACTGGAAAGACCAAACGTTCCAAGCTGCTTTCTTGCTTTTTCGTAAGGTAGATCAAACAGTCTCATCAAGTACTCGGACGGCGTCTCCTCAGCAGTTAAGTGCTCTCCTGAATGCTGGTCAAACCTTCCAATGTGCTAAACAAAAAATTCGATTTAATGATATAAAATTTGTAGATCAATTTATAATTGAATACCAGTCTGTGGTTCTTCCTGACTTCACCCTGTTTTGGCTCCAGATCACTAGTCAGCAACTTGAGGAAGGTTGATTTTCCAACACCATTAGGTCCGACAATTGCCACTCTTGACGCCATATCAATACCAAAATCACAATTTTCTAAGATATTCTTCTGGTCAGGGTAGTTGAAGGTCACATCTAAATCCAATAAGTTAGCTTAGATCTAAAAATTTTGATGGTCTTACTATGCAAGCCGAGAATAGGTGGCTGCAAGGGCGGAGGGTCAGGGAATGAGAATTTGACCAGATATTCCCTCGGTTTCTGCAGTAACTCCGTAGGTCCATTCTCGTCCTCTTGTTTTTGGGTTTTGTTTCTGTTCTTTTCTTGCTTTCTTGTAAGCACTTCTTTTTGTTTTTTCTCCTGTAAAAAAATTAAGAAATATAATTGTCATTCAGCATTTAAAATATAAAGTCAATTTAAAAATAGTAGCAATAATAATTGTTTTAATTTAAAATAAACGTAAACTCACAGCAGCTTTCTTTGACTGCCCTTGAGACTTCAATTCTTTAATTTTCTTCTCCTGCTTTTCAAACTCCTTTATCTGCTCCTTCCTCTTTTGCTGGAACATTTTCTTAAACATGGAGTAGTTGCCCTTGTAGTAGAAAAGTTTGCACTGGTCCAGATGAATGATGTCTGTGCACACGTTGTCCAAGAAACTCTGGTCGTGAGAAACAATCAACAGAGTCTTCTTCCATCCTTGCAAGTAGCTAAAAAAAGTTAACGTTAATTTGAGTTTTTACCAACTGAAAACACTCCTTACTTGTCAAGCCAAATGACAGCGTTCAGATCCAAGTGGTTGGTAGGTTCGTCAAGCAGCAGCAAGGTCGGTTCGACAAATAGCGCCCTCGCAAGTGAAACTCTCATTCTCCAACCACCTGAGAAATTCTTGGTCGCTCTGTTCTGCATTTCCTTTGTGAATCCAAGACCAGCCAAGATTCGTCTGGCGCGCGGTTCGGCCGAGTCGGCGCCAATGGCCTTCAGTTCTTCATACACCTCTTTCAGTCTGTCCTGGCTGTTGAGGTCAGACTCGGCCTCCAGCTTGGCACACTCAGCCATCAGCTCTGTCCGCTTCACGTCGGCAATCAGGACAGTGTCCACGGCCGATTTGTCATCAGCCTGAACTTCCTGCTCGCAGTAGAGAATATCAATGTTGGGTGGAATGTTGAAGGCACGGGCAGCAAGGTGGCGCAAAAGGGTTGTTTTGCCATGGCTGAGAAATAAAACAATTTTGTCATACGGTCAATATTGAAAATTATGAGCTTTAAATTTTAAAAAGATTAATAAAAATGAAATTGTCGTGATCACATGAAAAATTAACTAGTTTAGAAAAAAAAATGTCCTTTTAAAATGGTATTTTAGTAGGCTTATAAAACAGAACAAAAAAATCCTACCCATTAGGACCAACAAGACCATATCTGCGGCCACTAGCAATCAGTAGGGAGGCGTTCACAAAAAGGTCCTTGCCCTTTGCAGAGATGCTAAAGTTGTGAATTATATGGGGTTATATTTAATTTGATTTTCTTTAATTTTTATTTTGTAGTTTTAAATTACTTAATGTATTATGTATCAATGTATTTCACGCATATGAAGAGAGAGAGAGTTTAGCAGTAGCATAGCATTTTATGCGCCGAGAGAAAAAAAGCTGCGCGCGGGCTCTCCGTTCGAGCCGCGCCGTGTCCTTTGTTATATGTTGTTTTTTGTTGTCGCGCGGGCGACGCGGGACAAATTTCTTTATGTTAAAAAATATAAGGATATTTTTAAGGCGCTCATTGGTCTATTTAGTTAGATAAGGAGGAGTTTATTTTCTCGTCAAACCGATCTGAGCCAAAAAGTAAAACGAGAGGTCAGACTTCACCTTCCGCAGGTCGAGAGTGCAGGACCATTTGACTCAAATTAGCTGAATCAAAAGTTGTGGCTGATCTTTTGACGAGAAAATACTCCAACCCGAAAGGCATTCATCCACGCCGCGCTCTGAGCCAGGAGCTAAGGTTAGAGTTATTTTACGCTAATTTGTGCCCATTTACTGTTGTACCGACGGCTTGTTTTTATTCGATTTTAATTTGGAAAGAAAAAGTTCATTCTCTTAGAGTTTAAGTTTCAGTTAAAGTTAATTGAAAAGACTGTCGCTCCAAAGCAGTCCGCAAGCCTTTACGATTTTAAGTTACGTTTTAAGGACAAAAATCTCTCTCTCGGTTGTATTACGATTTTAAGGAACCTTGGTTTAGTTCTGTTTCATTAAATACAGAATTGATTATTTTTAATTTACGAAAATTATAAAACTCAGTGGAACAAAATTATAATATTTAAATTTTGGTGTATCGTTTAATTTTTGATTACATAAAATAAAAATAATTATACTTTTCTTCGTTCTCAAAAACTTAAAATATTTTGTTTAAATGAAAACAAATCTAACCTAGACATAATTTTAATAAATAATAGTAGACTATTCAAATAGAAGAAAATAGATTTTAATTAATAAATCAATCCAAAAAGAGAATTAAGATTAATATAAATAAAAAGGTAAATATAAATAAATAAATAAATTCGCTCATTATGGCCAGGCCTGAAAGTGTGTTTCTATGAAGTACTTATTGGAGTAGGTACGCATTCTGTACTAGGGTACCTTTATTGATACAAAGCGCCGAAATATTTATTTATAAATATTCTATCATATAATAGAGGCACCTGCCAGGGTGCGTACTCTCGGGAGTCGTAAAGATATACAGGCGCATTTTACTCCCCTCGCTCTTTCGGACGGGCACCGAATGAATGAAAAAGGTTGTCCATTCACTTTCCTTTTTACCTGCTCAGCTGAGATATACAGAAAATAGAAGTCCGTGAAAATAAATAATCGCTCCTATAAGTCTTTATAGATTCGCGCGCAAAGCGGTTTGGTTTTCGGGGTTTGCTTAAATTGAGAATTCCTATCCTGACATATTTTTAAATTCAAATTTACGCTCTAACAAACCCAGAATAAAATAACAACTCAAACAACCCCATTTAAAATAATTAATATAAAGTATAAACCCCCCCCGCTTTCACAAAGTTCTCCACCTTGATGTCAACAGCATGCTCGAGGGCCTGTGTCTGACCAGCAGACCGGTCGGCCTGTGACACGGTGAAGTTGTCTCCAAGAGCACTGTGACCTTGACCACCCTTCTTGGTCATCAGCTCCACCTGCTGCTCGTACTCCTGCTGCTTCTTCAGCTTTTTCTTTTCTTTGTGCGTCATTTTCTTGTCCATATCTGGAGGGCAAAAAAACAATAAAGCTCGTAAAATAGTTGATAAGTTGGTTACTGAAGCATTTATTGGTCTTCAACTAACAAACAAGATCTGTCATGTTGCTTTAACTTGTGTATGTAACACAAAAAAAATCTTGAGTAATGTTAATATTTTTTCTAGAAATAAGTAATACAAAAATGGCTTTACAAAGATAAAACGTTTTACTATGCAAAATTTTCAAATGATGCGAATTAAATAATGCAAATAATTCCTTATTGCTCGATAAAACTTATAATTCAGAGCATCGATGAATATAAAATAAGCTGATTCAAATATTCTTTTCAATACAGAATTAAAAAAAAGTACTAGAAAATATTTAATTATAAAAAATTTAAAATAAATTTAAACTTACCTTTAGGCTGCTTAGCATCTTCATCTTTATTGTTATCCATTTGTGGCTCCTCTTCAATATTGAGACTAGCAGTCTGCTCGGCTAGCTTGTCTACGGCACTGGCTAAAATTAAGCAGCATTGAAAGCATTCCAAAAACTACTGCAACAATCTACTGTGAAACTCACCATCATCATTCCCGTTCTTTGTCAACACCTCCTTAACTTCATCATCCTCACTCTCCTCTTTCTTCTTTGATTTGGCCTCGTCTATTTTGCCAACAGGCTTTGGCACTTCCTCTTCTTCAAGAAGCTCCTCTTCCTCACTTTCTGCTTTCTTTTTCGGCTTGCCCTTATTTTTCTTAGCAACTGGCTTTGGAATGTCCTCCTCGATCTCCTCTTCGTCCAGTTCAAAATCTTCCTCTTCACTCTCCTCCTTCTTCTTGGGCTTTCCCTTAGTCTTTTTGCTAACAGGCTTTGGAATCGTGTCCTCCTCGTCCTCCGACCCGCTCTCCTCCTGCTTCTTCTTATTTTTGCCCTTCTGCTTGTTTTTCTTTCCGACGGGCTGGACAACCTCTTCGTCGTCACTGCCCTCCAGTTTCTTCTTCAAAATATCCTCGTCTGACGCACTGTCCTCATCCACTCTGTTTTTCTTGCCCTTCTTCTTCTCCTTTTTGGGCACTGAAGGCTGCACAACTTCATTTTCCTCATCACTGTCTGCGGTTTTTTTGCCCTTTCCACCTTTTTTCTTTGCCACTGGCTTTGGCTCTTCGATCGATTCCTCATCCTCACTGCTGTCACCTTTTCTGCGGCCCTTCTTCTTTTCCTTTTTGGCAGCAGCTGGTTTCGCCGGGGCCACTTCTATTTCGTCGTCGACTGCTTTTGATTTTCCTAAAAAATTTATTTTATAATCAGATAAATAAAAAATACAAGACATCATCACCTGAGATTTAAGATTCGAGATTTTTATTAGATTATTGAGCATTAGGAGTTTTGCATCAACAAATAAAATTGAAAATTATCAAAACAAAGTTTCCAGAAGGAAAGTCAACCTGGCACGCACCTTTTCCCTTTTTCACAGGCTTCGCGTCGGTCTCGACCATGCTGACGACGGCCGTATCTTCGTCAGAGTTGAACCCATCGTCCTTCTTGCCCTTTTTCCCTTTCTTCGGCGGCATTTTCCTAAAATATCAAGCAAAATCCGGCTGCGGAACGTGTGGTTTTTCGAAAGTCAGGTCGAGTGACGTCAAATTTTGACCATGCTTTTTTGAAGGCCACGCCTCCTTTTCCAACAAATTCTGCTACCAGACGGAGATTTTACCAATTGCAAGGTTCAAATTTTGGTCAACAGGTGGCAGAAATGTTCAAAAGGGAAGCAAGTTCTCTGCAGAATCTGCTCATCGGCGATGGAAATAACGCCGCTTGTTTCTTCAACAACTGGATCGAAATACTCCATGGAAAAGTACTTTTTCTCGGGTCTTCGTCTGTTCTATTGAAGTAGAAACTCGTCCATCCGACTGGGTAGTGATCGCGTCGACTGTCAAGCCTTCAAAGGGTGCCGAAATGGAGTATTTCCTGGACGCAAACGATGGGTAAATATTCGGGTTCGTTTTGTATTCCGTCGTCGGACTCGAACGGATCGAGTGATTTGGGTGTCCCTTTTCAGCTATATGGTAATAGAAGTAGACGACGTAAATATATATAACGATATAACCAAGCCAAAAATACAAATAAATAAAGAAATTTTAATAAAAATTACATATTATGGATATTTTGTATTTAGGAGCAAGGAGATAGTTTTTTCATTTTTTTTTTTTAATTTATTGGCAATTATAGAATTTTTTGGAATTTTTAATTAAAAAAATTTAAGTACATACGTAATTTAAACCCTCCAAAAACAGTAATTAATATATTTATTTTGCTCTTTACAAATTAACAAATTATAAATATATCAAATTTTATAATATTTAACATTTTTTATGCGTATTATAAATTAATTTTTTAAATCGTTTAAAAATCCTAAAATATCAATGTATCTTTTGATTAAAAAAAAATATTAATTTGATAATTTGATTCCAGGCTAGCATTAGCAGTTCTGCCCGGCATAGACGAATCTAACAAGAATGATTCAACAGAAGAAAAAGCATCAACGAACCTAACAGATTTGACTCTCTTGTGCCGAATGTGCGCCAGACAGTGTGTGGAGAACCCTGACTTGGGCGCTGTTTTTCTAACTAAAGAATTAGCCGAAAAACTCAAAGCCTTTTTGGATATCGAGGTTAATTTTTATTCATAAATCTGTATAACAAAGACCTTAACCATGCAATTTTAATTAAATTTATTTAATTCAGCAAATAAATATTATTAAATATTGCATTTCTTAAAATTAAGAATATTTTTTTCAGATTGAAGGTGACAGTGAGCACCTGCCAAAGCAGCTGTGCCAGGAGTGCAGCTTTGCCCTGGAGCGATGGGCTGAAATCCGTGAAATGGTCAAACGTTCGAAGACCTTTTACCAAAACCAGCTGGAGCTCCGAGGTGTCGAGGTGGCCAAAACTCCGCTCAAGGTCCAGGAGGTGTCATTGCACTGCGCCAAGTGCAACTCCCTGTTTTCGGACTTTGCCAGTCTCGTCGTCCACGAACTGACTCATCTGCCCAAAAGCCCCAAGAAAATGAGAAAAGATTTAATTAATTCCTCCGACGAGTCTGCGGAAGACGACGATGATGTCGATTACGAGCCGACGGTGTCCACTTCTTCAATCAGTGGCTGTAAAAGACGCGTTTCAGCCAGAAACTCCACTGTGGCCAGACAGTCTTTGACATGCGGACACTGTGAGAAAAATTTTGACCAAGCTCAGGCTTTTTTTACCCATCTCGGAAGTCTGTCGCCTTCTTTGACAGTGCCTTGCACTGTCTGCAATTGCAAGTTTAACTTGGCAGACCAATTGGTTGAGCACACAAAGCAGCACCAAAGAACAGGTTCAAAACATACCCTTTTTTTAGTTAATTTAATCAAAAATTAATGATTCAATTCCTTATCACAATATCAAAATTTCCAGGTCGACAAGTAGAGGTTTTTCCCTGTGGTAGCTGCTCTGTTGGTCCGTTTGCCTCAAAATCCGCTCTTCAGCAGCACTCAGAGAAATGGCACCGACAGGCCAAACTGCCAAAATCAGCATTTCCCTGCGGCCTGTGCAGTTTGGGTTTTGATGAGTTTGTCGACTACTCTAAACACGTCCAGACACACGTCAACTTTCGACACTTCCCCTGCGCCTTGTGCGGCTGCAAATTCACCAAAGTGCCTTACCTGCTGGACCACATCAAGCAGCACTCGGCCGGCGACAGCAGACAGATCACTTTCATGTGCGAGATCTGTCCAGATCAACAGGTCTTCAGCAGCAAACACAATCTGGCCTCGCACATGACCAAGAAGCACAGAATGCCTGCAAAAGTCCGACCACCGCCGAAGACCTTTGAACCTTCCAACTTCTTTCCCTTCGGCCAGGAGAGTGCTGGAGATCTTGAGCTGGAGTGTGGCCTCTGCAGTGAAGTCCTCAATTCGTGTCAGATGCTGTCCGAGCATGTCGAGCGCCAGCACAAAAAGTTCAAACACATTGTGTGCAAAAAGTGCCAGTGCAAGTTCACCAAGCTGCCCTACTACTTGGAACACGTTGCAGAGCATGTGGCGCACCCCGACAAGGTGATGGCCATCGGCTGTGAGGCGTGTGATGAGATTTTCAGTAGCAAGCACAATTTGTCCAAGCATATTTACAAAAAGCATCGCAACACCTACGCCAAGCTGAGCGCACAGAGACACAATAATGATGATCAAAATCAGGGTATATATTAATTTTTGTATCATTAAATTTAAATCAAATAACTAAAGAATAATGAAGACATGTTTTGACAAAAATATTAAAAAACTAGCAATTTAAGCTCAAAGATTGTGTTTAATATTTTCAGTTTTTCTGCTCTTTCATGATTAATTTTTTTCACTATCTATTTTTAATTTATTCTATTTTTCCAGCAGTGAAAGAGGTTGCCGCTTCAGACGAGGAGCCCAAATTTGAGGTGGAACGGAATCCAAAGACCCGACTTTTCCACTGCAAAAACTGCCCGGAAACGTTTAAAAGCGCAACTTTACTCAACACACACTTTTTGGAGCACGTCCCTAACAAGTGTCCAACATGCCACGGCCTGTTTGAGACGCGCGAGCAGCTCAAGGAACATTTGACCCAAAAGTGCCGGCAGGAGGAGAAGTTCCCGTGTCCAATCTGCGGCAAACTTTTGGCCACCAAACAAAGCATGCGGATTCACACCTCGCTTCACTCCAGCGAGCGGAAATTTGTGTGCGAGGTTTGCGCCAAGACATACCGGACACAGTCAGCTCTTGTCAGCCACCGCAATGTGGTGCACTTGCAGAAGTCACAGTTCATGTGCCACATTTGTGCAAGGACTTTTTCTTTCAAACTGGCCATGAAACGACATGTGATGCTGCACATGGGTGACCTCCCGCACAAATGCATGGCCTGCGATAAGGCCTTTGTCACGGCCAACCTGCTAAAAATTCATGTGGCCAAAGAGCATGAAAGGCGCGTTCAGCACTTCTGCACCAGCTGCAAAAAAGGCTTTGTTGACATCATTGGCCTGCGTCGCCACATGCGGGCCGTGTGTAAAGTTCCAGAGCATGCCATTCCCTACATTAGGGACCGTCAGTTTGTAAAACACTCGATGCACCAATGACAATATTAAAAGTACTGAATAAAAAATTTAAAAACAAAGTTTCTTGGTATGTTTAAATTGTATTTTTCCAATGGCGATTACATCAAGTAATAAATTTATATTGAAGTAGTTTCAAAGAAATTAGTCCGTGTCTATGGGCTCATCTGGAATCGAAAATGAAACGAGAATTATTAGAGTTATTATGCTAATTGCTTTATTACTGACCTAATTCGTTGAACATGAACTCCTGTTGGTACTCTCTAAGATACTGCTGGGAGCGTTTTTCGTCAAGGAACAAGTTGTACACTTTTTTGATGTCATCGACAATAACCTTTAATTTTCAAATATTTTACACAACCAATTCTTTTATTTTGGGCAATTACATACTTGAGTTGCTTTCCTCCTTCTGGCGACCACACTTGCGGTGGTGATGAGCTGAATGGAGTACCTGAGGGAGGTCTCAAGTGCAATTTTGGTCAGCACAATGAGCGCCTCATCGACCATGTCGCAATCCTCCTCTTCGCACCGGATTTTGATGATCTCGGACAGTTCCTTCTCGGAATATGGAATCGTAGGAATGATGACGCTACGGTCGAGCAGGTCAAGTGGAATTCCGTGGGGGGACTTGTAGTTGGTGCCTCTGATTTTGGTAATGCCTCGGTTTGTGGCCATGATAACCACAGGCGCCATGTCGTTCTCAAGAGCACGATTCATGAATGAGAAGCTCTCAATGTCTAACATGTGAACCTGTTGGGAGGAAAGTTTTTATTTAAATCGATTGTTCAAAGTCAATTTGATTTACCTCATCAATGAAGAGAACTCCAGGGACAACCTCAGCCTTTCCCTCCTCCCGCCATTCTGCCACTTTGCAGTTGATTTGGTCACGAACCTCTGGTTTGATTTCGCCAGTGTCACCTTCAAAATTTTACAATTATAAAAATGATATTTGATTGCAGACAGCTAGAAGAAGTACCTGAGAAAAGGGCAAGGAAACCTTGGGCTCTGCTATTGATAACATCAATTTCGTGCAGAGACACAGTGTGGACAACTTCTTTCCTCTTCTGCAACTCTCCCTCCGGGCATTGCACAAATCTAATAATAATGAAGTTCATAAATTTTATAAATTAAAGAAAATTTTGATTAAATAACCTTGTTTGAGCTCCGGTAGCGTCATAATCTCTGGCTCTAGTGAAGGAGCGTCCCAGTTTTGTGATTTTGCCAGTGGCCTTATCGATGACGATAACATCACCAGACCGAACCTTTTCCTTCATTAGAGACTCTATCATCTTGGAGCCAAGATCATAGATGGTTTCCATGTCTGTGGTTTTCAGAGTCAACTTTCCCGATTTGGAACCAACTCCCGTCGCAGGTCTCTCCACTTGGATTTCAACAACCTCTCCTTCTACTATTTCAGTTTCTTCCCTAAAATTATTTATTATAATGAATTCTTATGATAAAAAAATCCTCACTTGATTCTAACTCCAATCGATCTGCGAATTGCCTGCGTCAAAGCTTCGGTTCTGCTCATTTCCAAGCTGTAAATCTCCGAGCCGCTCATGCTGGTGAACGGCGTGTCATTGCCCAGGGTCTGGGCAATGCCCATGGCGATGGCCGTCTTGCCCGTGCCAGGCTGACCGGCAAGTAAAATGGCTCGGCCGGCAATCTTTCCCTCCTTGATCATCTCAGTGACAACCCCGGCTGCCTTCCGAGCCTTGAGCTGACCTACCATTCCTTGCGATACCTACAAAGTAATGAATTTTATTACTGAAAATAAATATTTAAAAGGTTGTTACATTTCTAGGGTCGCAAGTGTCGTCCAGGCCAAGACCTCGGATGTGCGAGTGGGCACCGATTCTCTCAATCCTGGTTACGTCGCGCACCTCCTGCACCTTGGATGCAGCCGTGGAAATTGACTGGAATAAGAAAATAAGAAAACAATCTTTTTTATATACAAGAGTTAAAATAAAACAATATGTACACAAAAACCATGGAAACACGGGTTGTTTGCATACAAATTTTATTATACATAATTATGAACTAAAACAGAGAGAAACCCTTGAACTAGTAAATCATGCATAATAAATTTGATTTTTTCATTAACTATTTGATACAGAATAAAAAAAGGAAACATCAAAAATAATTTTATTTGCAAATTTCTGCCGGCAAGTGATGTGAATTTTTGGGCACCGATTTACAAGCGATTTGCGAATAAAACACGTATTTCAAAGATTTAGTTTAAAGTAGTGTAAATAATGAACTGGTTAAGAAAATATTTGGCTCATAATTGAGTTAAAAACCAGCAAAATTATTGAAATAAGTTGGAAATTATTTACCGCCATGCTTCCCTCGTTCGTACTTTCGCAGCGTCTCCACAACAAACCGGAGATCAGCTCGGTGATTGGCTGCTTTTTCTGATGGAAGCGCGAATAGTTTAAAATGTAGCCATGCTTGCCGCGATAATGTTTACTTAATTTATAAAATGGTTCAAACCATTTTATTTTATTTTTTTTTTTTTAAATTCTTTTTCAAATATAAATGAAATCTTAATAATATAAATAATGTTTTAAATTTATAGAAATGAAGAGGTCGGGATTTTCCTCGTTGTAAAAATTGTTTTTATTTTATTCAAAAACAAAAGGCTCTAATTTCAACAATGAGGTAAAGCCCGAATTCTTCATTTCCATAATCATCTCAAGTGTCAAATTCTTCAAAAAAAATTAAATTTTAATCCTAAGTTAAAATTAAAATTTTAAATTATCCCATTTTAGTTGAAAAAAAGATTTTTTTGAATTATTACTTATTACTATGCATGAAAATTTAAATTATTATTATCATTATTGTTCATATTTTCTTATCATTATGGATTATTTTTGTCTAAATTTTATTACAACAAAAAGAAATCCTTAGTAAGTCTTGTCACGGACGTAATGATTAATGAATAATCATTAATTACATACATAAGTATGTGAAATATAACAAATTCGAAGATGTGCTCGGATATATTATTAAAAACAAAACAAAATAATAATTCCAATTGAAATTATATTTAATAATTTTTGCTTCCAATTAATTATTCACAAAAACATTTAAAATGAAAACAAACTAACGAAGCCAAATATAATTAGGCGTAAGTCTCAATGTCAGCGTATAATTGCTGATCGTGAGAAAAAGTCAAGCTCGTCTTGCGTCAAGACGTCTCCTTTAATTTTTGCCCGAAGAATCTTCTTTGTACCACACTCTATATATTTTCGGCAGGATATTATTCTCTCATTTACAGCAATCAACACCCATTAGTCGACGCTCGACGCCGGGAACAAACAATGTGCCGCATAATTGCTCGACGGACGAGCCTGGTGCGTCCAGCAGCAAATTGGCCAAGACGCGATAAAGCGAAGGAGAGAGAAAAGGAAGAAGAAGAAGTAGAAGTCGAGCCGATAAACCAAGAGAGAGGCGGATCGAGAGCGGGGGCGCGCGCAGTGGGGAGGCGGCGGGGGCAGCGCAGCCACCACCGAGCCGACCTGCCTCCGAACAGCCACCATAGAAGGCTGAAGAGTCGCTCCGAAGTCACCCGTCCGCATAGACGACAACTACGTTGAGGTAGGGAAATATTTTTCCTTTTTTTTTATTTTAATTTTTCTTGCCGAGACAATAATTTATGCGCCGAAAGGCCGAGGTGCTAATTAGACGAAAATAAACTTCGAAGGTTGTCTCTGTTTGTAGTTCTGGAGATGAATGCTAATTCTTAAGAATTTTTGTTAGAGGTTAAATTTAGGCTTGTGTTTTTTTCTTCTAAATTTCTCGGAACAAATTTATTTACGGCGCCGCAAGTGTTTTCTTTATTTTTTTTTTTATCTCCCCCGCGTGGAGCGAAAAAAATCATTTCTTTCGCAAAAGAAAAAACAACTTCGGCGGCATAATTCTTTTTGCTCTCCGTCCTTATCAGAGGCGAAATAAAAATTTTATCTTACCGTTAATGCGTCGATTTCGCAACGAATGTCATTGCGCTTTTTTATTGTCAGGGGTTCAATCGAGCGAAAGTAATAATAGCAGTAATCACTCTCACAACACCAAGTTTTCCTGGTAGACAATCAGAGAAGAACTGCTAATTGCTCTCGTTATATTACCTCGGATGTTCATTTTGATTAGTTTGATGAATCTCGGAAGAGAATCCATTTTCCCCCTTAAACTGATCTCCCTCTAAAGAAGAGGAGGACAATTTTCCTTATTTGCTCATACATGGAAAATTTGATAATGGGAAAATTAATAGAGTGAGATGTCATTTATAAAGCATTTATTAATAAATGTGTTATTTATGAATTGATTTATAAATAGATTGCATTTAAATATTCATTTGAACTGTGAATCCGAAATTATCTCGCAAGGTTTAATTTTTTTTTTATTAAATTAATAAAAAAAAAATTTATCTGTCTTGGGAAAGGCACCAGCGGTATAGCAGACAGCTCTGCCAAATCGCAAGGGCCGATAACAAGGTGATCTTGGGACCCAATGGCACTGGGCTGGGGTGTGAAAAGGATGGATTTGGTTGTTGGGAATTTGAAGGATGAGGAAGGTGAGCGGCTGCGGCCCATATGAATGGGAACTATGTCGGGAATGTCTGATGGAAATCACAGAAAACAACCAGCGACTGCATAGGCGGAATTCCATTTATGAAATGCCTGCAATTTCTCCCGAATATCTGCCTGTTGTAGCGATCAATGCACCTCCTATGATTTCCTGATGTTAAGATAATTATTTAAAATTAACATTCAATTGGTTACGTATTAAAAATTTAATTTGTTGTTTTTTTTATTATTTTAAAATGAAAATATAATATAATTATAATAAATTTTTATTTTTATTTCTTTATTTTAGTACTTATAAATTTTTCTTATAACATTTTTTAGTTAAAATAAAATAAGAAATTGTTTTAAAAATTCACGACGATGTTATAAATTTTAGAAAGAGAAAATTAAAAAGGGGTTTTAAATATTTTTATAAATACGGACGCAAGCATTTTATTAAATTTACTTAAACATTACTTTAAATGGATTGAAACATTATTTTAATTTCAAATTTGACCCTTTGAGTCCATCTCACGGAAAAAAAATACTTCAAACGCAACTCCTCGGCTGCCATTATTTGCGTCACAGTAAAACAGCCCTGTTATGCCGCATTTTACATTTTGTTTGGTGTAAAAATAAAACTCGCAATGATATTGACAGGCACTGTTAAAATTCTCTGTGTAAAAAGAGCTGCGGGATGTTTTTGTTGTTGCAATTTTGCACTAAATGTTACATGTGGTGCTTATCAAAACAAGTTCTTCTTTGTAATTCCGCTGGCCAAACGTTAAATCTATATTAAAAAATTATGTTTCTTATATACTCATTTTTTCAAAAATTTTAAAATAAATTTCAAAATAATTCTCAATATAATAATGCCAGCATCAAAACTGGTGCTGAGTATAAAGGCTGAGCAACAGTAGCGATGAAATTAATTTTAATCCCAAGGGAATGAAACTCTCTCCATATAGAAACCGGATGAATTTCTCTTAAATTCCCTTCTATATGCTCTCTGGGGATGATGGGAAGTGCAAAGCACGCATTCCGATTCAGGTGCAAAGGAAACCACCCTTATATGTGCACAGCCTGTGCTGGGTGGCAAATATTTTAATCCCATGAGGCATCTCTCTCGCCCACGCGAATACGTGTCCTTTTGTTTGTTTCAAAACTCGCGTATTTCTTCTCTCGGATTTCTGGAAAGAAGAAAGCGCCTTTTCACAAAGTGAGCAGGGATGAGAGCGACTTTTGATAAATAAATGTCGTCCTTCTGAACTGAAACGACGAGAGACAAAAGTTTGTCCCTTCAGAAGTAGTTTACTTGCACAAAATGACAGAGAGAATTTGCATGTTAAATAATATGCGCACGCGAATGTACAAGCAACAAGACATGCACAGTACACAGAAGAACAAAGCGGATCAACAAATGTGAGCCTCTTTTCTGTAAAGTTGAATATTTAAACTTACTTGAACCAAGAGTTTGCATTGAAAGAAAAAAATAAATACTTTACTCCGATAGGAAAATAAATGTTGCTGGGAAACAATTTATTTTCATGTAAATACGATTGATTCTAATAGTCGTTTAACCCAATAAAATATGTAAATTTCAATTTTAGTAACCAAAGTAGTTAAAAAATTTGGCGATCATGCATGATTGATTGGCCATCCATTTATTTTCCTGTCACATGTCTATAGTATCTCTATTGTTTAATCTTTTTTTATCTACAAAAGTTGATCAAGTCATATAGATAGAGTACTAATAAAGTAATAAGTTAATAACTGTGCTGAAGGTCTGAGTATAATATTTTTTAGTAATTTGCTAAAAGCTTTTATTTTAATAACTTTTTAAAAGGTTTAATCCTCAACTCATGTTTTAAAAAAAATTTATATTATTTTTCATCTTGCGAATTTATTAAAAATTTGCTAGCATTTATTTATTTATTTTGTTTTCTATTAGAACTTGATGTCCTTTTCTATGTTACTTACAATAAATATTTTATACATAATACAAAAAAAAGTGCTTTTAAAGCTGTGACCTCTTCTAAACAAATTTTTGCACCGATGTCCAATCCTCAATTATTGGACGAAAATGCAATCAGTAGGCAAGATTTTCTACTTAAAAGATCAAATCTTCCGCGAATACATTTTTTTATACATATTTAAATTAGAAATCCGTAACTGATTTAACACCGTCATTATTGTGCAGTTCAAGTAAAAATCAGTTATTTAATGTTTGAAAGTAAAAATTTAAATTTCTATTATATCTTAAAAATTTTCATGTATAAGTAAAATTATTAATTATGAACTACACATATTAAATATCTTGACTTTGTCATGAGATATGGTCCTTAGGATAGATGCAAAAAATTTTGTAGTGCATTGGAAGGAAATTAATATCATCACTTCACTTTCCTATAATTTGAATTTTTATTTATAAAATAAACCAATCAAAATATATCATATTTGAGCGGCAAAATACGAGCGAAAACTTTCCCAAAACACAAGGTACAGTTTCCAATATGATTGATTTTTTAAACACATTAGAAATATTGTGCATTTGAAATAAATAATATCTGAGGGAATAGGCAAATAAAACTGAAACATCAAATTCGAATGGCAAGACTTCATAAACATTTGTTTGTTTATTTTCACCTCGCATATGTACCCAACCAATTCATGTTAGTGGAGAAGTGGCAGTGCCAAAGAAAACGGCAATAATGTCGCATGTATATGAAACAAAAAGAAGTTCGCTGCCAAACGCTGGGTTATATCGAAAGTACTTACTATAGCTATACGTGTGCCGCGGTTCTGTCATTAGCGAGCCCTGGCTGG